GACATAGTAATAAAGCCTTCCTTATCATCTCTAGATAAGTATTCCTACTATAAATAATCTACTATACTATAAAAGAATATGGCTTGAAAAAGTTTCGCTAAATCCTAATCCTATATCAGGCGATGACCATTGGGAGGCCAAATAATGAGAGAGAAGCTAAGATAATTGTTCAAGCTGCAGGGCCAGCCAGAGATCTGATCGATATCACACTTAACCTACGAGGCCGGAGGAGGGCCAATAAGCCCCAGAAAAATTTACAAAAAGTCTTGCTGGAGAGTATGCTTTTCAGGGGGGTGAGTGCCAATTTATTACACATAACGCCAGTATAGACTCCCACCCCTCGGGATTGAGCCCATGACCTACTGATGGTCATGGGGACTCAACCCATTCGGTGTCCTCCGTTGACGAGGCGTCTACCACTAGACCACGCTCGCCCACACAATTGTCAGAGGCCGGGAAGTAATACTTAAGAGAGCGCGAGAGCAAAGCGAGCTAGGGCGACACCTAACCCTGCCATGACAATCTATCACGACCATGTACCATACCTACATGTAGTGTAGTATAAAATGACATTGATTCTATGTTGGTGTACTGATACCGCAACATCATAGGACTCGTTGCTATACGAACGTTATCCTCTTTCGACTTTTGGTAACCCCCCGCTATATGGAGATCTCGGAGTTGTGCATTCTCCCCGCGGAATTTCTATTGCTCTTAGACTGACGGTGCTAGTGATGTACAGGCTGATTAAATTCGAATTAAAATTGTTTAGGAAATTTCGCTGCTCAATCATAGAAGATCACTCGCATATATATATTTGTCCAAATTGATGATCTGCACCCCAGAGAGAAGTTCCCCGCCGAACCAACCATCTAAGCTCCAACTATACCCTCGAGCCCGGAAGACTTTGTGTAATGTCCCGATAAAGTATCCCTTATCAATGTTGGAATGCCTCTCGGCGTTGAGCCAGTGAGTAAAGTTAAAACAGCTGTATAATTTATCGAAGGTGACGGAGCCTCACCACAGCCTCATAGGCCTATTATAGCGTATAAAAGCTATCAGGTACGGTCTTCTGTACAAGGCCGTAGACATCCCGCCACTACCTGTAAAATTCTGCTCGGACAAGCCCAACAAGCTTGGATCACAGGGTATCACTCGTGATTCACCCGGCCCCCACCATTACGATAGTTTCCGGGTCTTGGGGGGATATGTGGTGATATGACTAAGATGGATCCATAGGATGGGATTCCATACCGGATTCGGTTGAGTGCGTAACTAAACTTCTTCGCCTTCTGGTATTCCCCAGTGTCTCAAATTACACATCCATGGCCGTCCAGAATAGGCTTGGCTTGGTCCAAAATCATGACTTTAAGGATGAGACCCTTTAAAGTTTTTTACCCGGGGACCAGGGATCATACTTAAATACCTAACTAGCTAGTAGATCTAATTTAGAGTGTGGTTTTGACTTTACCACCCCCCCTTTCCCCCAGCGGCGCACTCTAAACCGGACCCTTTTCCACGAGGTTCGGGAGTCAACTAACCATTGACCGTAACTTGGTCCGACCGCCGGTATTTACGGCAATCAAAGTACCGGCTCGGGTTGGCCGGCTTCCGGCAGAGGGCCATTTGGCAGATATAAAAAGGGCTCCTTTTCTGTTCCTTTCTCCCTCACTTCAGAATCGAGCACGCACACATAGTCTGCACAACACGGATCATTGCGCCCAATCAGCTTTCACTCGCAGCAAGAAACCCTCACATGGATATGAGATTGAGCAACGATAGTGTCGATAGATACTCGGAGGGTTGGTCATGGCCGTTCAACACCAGCGTTTGATTCAGAAAATCTGGCAAAAGACAAAAATCACTTCATTTGTGAACAAAATAATGACTTGGAGCAATAACCGTTGATATTGTATAGCAAACGCAACTACTTATACAGGGTCATATGTCTCAACAAAACTGCTCCAAATCCCGACAACCTTTAGTATTACCGCAAGGTCTGACAGCAAGCTATCACAACCCTGACCATCTCTAACAAAACCGATACCAAATTTCAAACCGTCTATATATTTTTTTTCATCATAGTCGTGGCACAAACAGTGCACTACTATCCACGAACTACCTTCTCAAACATCACCGGTTTATAACTCAACACCAAAACCAATTCTTTTAGAAAAGAAATTCGTACAAGAACGTTTAGTAATCCCTCTTGACGTTAAGGGCGCCCTCCAATCCATGGTGGGTGGCGATACCCTCAACACGGTGGAACGAGTTGATGTTCTTGTGGAGGACAATCTGGTAGCAGGTAGCGGAACCTTGACGGGAGACAATGGTGGAGTAGGCCAAGAAGAATTCCCAAATCTAAGGGAAATTAGCCCGGAGAAATATCAAGAGATGGATATGGCTTACCCTGAACCATCTGGCGCCGTATTTGGCCTCAACCTTCTCACGGTTTGCCATCCAGTTTCTGTACCACCTCCAGAGAGTAGCGCTGTAGTGGACTCCAATGGTATCGACACTCTTAACCTCAAAACCAGCTCCTTCAAGCTTATCGACGAACCAACCAAGAGGGGTAGAGGCATCAGCACCGGGGAAGACATATTTGTTCATGAAAAGACCCCTGAACGTTGAAATATTAGTAAATGAGAACTAGATGAGTTTAGACAATAAAAAAAACTTACCAGATAAGATCCTCGTATTGCCAGCTCTTCCTCAATCCAGCAATCTGCAAGAAGAAAATACCATCGTCATCAAGCATGTTGTAAACCTGAGTCAAGAAAGTTCCGAAGTGTCTAACACCGACGTGCTCGGCCATCTCCAAGCAGGTGATCTTGTTGTACTTTCCGGCGGGGACAGGAGAATCACGGTAATCGGTACAGACAATGCGAGACTGAGATTCCTCAATACCATCACGACGAAGTCCGTTGTTACCCCAAGCAGTCTGGTTACGTCCAAGAGTGATACCGGTGACATGGGCTCCGTAGTTCTTGGAAGCAAAGCGAGAGAGAGTTCCCCATCCACATCCAAGATCGAGCATACGCTCACCCTTCTGAAGGTTGATCTTCTCACACACGATCTTAAGCTTGTTGTCCTGGAGCTGTTCAAGAGTCTCTTCCTTGCTGGGATCTGAGATAATTCCGGAGGTGTAGATCATGCGTGGGCCCAAGAACCAACCATAGAAGTCATCACCGCGGTCGTAGTGATCACGGACCTGTTCCTCATCTGTGCACACCAGTTAGCATAATTATATACCGAATGTGGTTTATGGGTTTATCTTACCCTGAGACCTGCTGTGTACAAGCATTTCCGGGATCATGCCAAGCAAGAAGTACTTGAAAAGAGAGATGGTGAACTCAAAGCTGGCCCAGTCGTGACGGGATTCCATAATTTCCAAGCAGTCGCCCTTGAATGAGACATCACCCTCAAAATACTTCTCGTGGAAGGTCTCCATAGCAATCTTGGCCTTTCCCTTGTACACGGCGGCATCCTCTTTCTTGTGGAACTCAAGGTAGTGTTCAATGGGCTTTCCGGGAAGCTTGACCTTCTCGGTCTTTCTTGGGGAGAAGCGGGAAGCGACGGTCCAGTATGCAACAAGGATAGGTAGAGAGGTGATCAAGGCGAAGAAGATGAATGTCTTCCATCCTCCACCAACTTTGTAACGGAGGTAGAAGGGAACTATGAAGAGGGCACCAAAGAGGATCTTATTGGAGAAAGTATCACTCCCGGGACCGTCTGCTGGAAGAGGAGCATTGGGAATTGTCGGATACTATAAAATATTAATAAATTGGAACAGAGATAGGATCAAAATTGGAACAATTGCCCAATTGATATCAATTGACTTACAGCTGTGGTTTTTACACCGCACTCCGATGATGGAGGTAGAGGAGGTTTGGCAGGAGGAGTTTCTATGAACTCAAAGTTCACCTCAGCGTCGGAGCTACTCATTGTGAAGAATTGATTGAGTTCCTGCTACTGGGGGTGATGAGCAGGATGAGTTGGATGAGGGAGGATGGAAGGAAAGAGCGGGAGTCGACGAAGTATAAAAAGAAGTCAATTGCACTAAGTAGGATAGTCCCAAATGCCAGGGAAAGGGGGTAACTGACGAAATGTCTGGGCGAAAGGGGTTCGAACAACTCTGAGGCTTGCTTGTTGCCAGGTGTTATTGTAATGGTACTCGACCAATGGCCCGCGCCCTCGGAGCCCTTTTCGTCTTGGGTGCACTGTTGCCGACAGGGTACTGGTTCCTGCCAAGACGACAACCGACAACTCCTTTTGCTCCTCCGCGTTGACAAGACTTAAGAGAGATGTCCGCTGCCCTGTGCTCCCTCCCGCTCCAGATCTGCCACCTGGAGTAAATCTGCCCCAATCCAAATATGGGTTTTCAGGAGAGAGGTTAAATTGAGCATTGGACTTGGGGGTAATTTGGACGCCCGTGAACCAGTGCAAGCCACGGAAATCTCCAGTCTTGGGTACAACGCTTAGATACATGACTCTAACTCCTTTCTCTATATATGTGGGATATACACACCAAAAGGGATTTGAGATTGAGAACTACTTGTTTAGGAGTTGCTCTGGCCGCGATATCAAGTGTCTGTACTCCCAATATTTCGCAAATGATATCTGGCTTTGGATATCTAGTGACGGATATATTACCTTCTATGTACACACATACTTGTAAACCGTACATGTAGTCCCCTCATAATATTTTCAGTTGTCTATATACAGTTTGAACAAGTGGTAATCTTGTATCTACTAATTTCCCTTGCTTTCGTATACAATGCCTATGCGGGATTTACACATATATGCCTAGGCTCACCTTCATGAACTGACATCGCATGATTTACATTCCAGCTGACTAAGTAAATATACATCAAGAAAGTTGTTTATTACATGTATTAGTCATCTGGAATGTCAATCAAGCGATTGCGTGCATAGAGTACCTTAGGTAGAGTAGAGTATCATCATCCATGCAAGCCAATGACCACGTCGTTTTCTGCTGACTACATCCACTTTTTAAGCCCAACTTTCTTCTCCCAGGGGAAATTAGTAGTTGGCCCTGCGTGCGTGATTAACTCTTTAACCTTTTCTTTCTCATATGGTAGACTCTCCAGGCGGATAGCTTCTAAAATGTAGTCGGCCACAGTGCGCAACTTGAGAGGTGGGTCCCTCCAAAGTTTAGATATCTCTTCTACTCCATAGCCACCTTCATGCCACATCGCGTAAGCTCGTAGCTGCGGCCCAGAAGCTACCAAAGATCCTTCTTGTGCCATATACTTTGCCACCCATTTATCTGCTTCTTCAACCTCTTCGGGCCTTTTTTGTCCGTTTAACCCGCCTTCGATTTTCGATAGATTCTTTGTGAGGGCTAATATCGATTTGTCCTTGGGTTTCTCGTTTCCTCCATTACTCTCTGTAAGTATTGATGTTTTAGATACTTTTCGAGTCTTCTTTGCCCCAAACTCTTCTACATTCAGCACACGGGCTTTTGGTAAAGGTGGACAGGGCTTAAGCATGCTTCTCCTTGTTTGGAAAACATCGAATATCCGTACTCCTGCATAGGCATCGGCTGCGGCATCTAAAGAGATTTTGCTTGACTGATTAGAAGTTGAAACTTGATAAAGATCATCAATCCCACGTACATTGTATTTGTTGCGTAGTCAGTGGGCTTTTCCATTGGCTGAGTCTCACTTTTCCCTTGCTTAGCGGAAGGAGCAAAGCTTCCTCTGTCAAGCTTGCCAAGGATATCAATCGTTTAGGTATATATCCTCCCCCCTTTAGAACTGTATTCAACAAGTTCCTATAATCGCTAAGTTCGAAAGCCCCTTGCATAGAGATGTTGAGGTACTTGTATATTCTTCGAGCATCGCCTAATTCAATAAGTTTTAGAGCCAAAGTTTGGGGGACATATTGTAACATACCACTAATATTAACACCGACTTTTAATATATCCTCAGAGACTAAGATCTTGTGAAGATTTTTGGGTATAAATTGATTTTTTTTACCTTCAGTAGCAAATAAACATCGATCCAAAATTAGAGAGAGAAAAAAGAGGGAGATGTATGTATGACTTACCAAAAAGTGAAATATGAAATAGGGCGATATCACTCTGGTTGGCTATTTGTATTAAAGATGTTTGAGATCTATGCGGTATAAGATTGACTGTCATCTAATCAGGATTGCGAACCATTATATGTACCTTGGTGACTTTTCAGTAGCTCTCGCCCACGGATCCCACTCCATATCAAATCCAATAAATTTATCGTTTAGGAAGAGTGCCGCTGCTTCATTTGCTTCTTCAAGTGTCTTGCAATAATGTACCGTAGGGGGGTTTTCCTCCTTGTTTTGGTATAATAGATGACTCCAAGTCTTATTGACATTACCAGGTTTTAGAAGTTGTCTTCGTTCCAATTCAACTTCCGATATTTGAAACTCCATGAACGGATCATATGGTTCCGGTTCCGGGGTAAATTCGAGGCTTTCGAGGAGAATTTGGCCCGGTTCTGTTTGGCAACTGACAGTAGTCTCGGTGACGGCCTCGACGGTAGTGGTAGTGGTCTGTTTTACTGTCGCCCCGGGCTGCATAACAGTTGGTTCTGAGAGAAGCTCTACCTGTTTCTCGGGGGCAGCGACATCCCCAATCGCTTTCTCAAAAACCGAAAGACATTCATGAGCCATTGCTAATCTCTTTTTATCTTGAATGTTCCCTATGATTTCCGCCAATGCCTCAAATCTTTCAGCAACCAGTTTTTCGCTTAAGGTTGTAATGCTTCTTCGTGACATATTTGCGCCTAACCTCGAGAATGAGCGCTTGTCACGGAAAAACCTCCGCTCGATTGTATGGTTTTGATTTGAGTTTTTATTCCCCGTAGTAGAATATGAAAAGAGTCGTGTACTTTCTTGCCCCTTTATGGGGTTTGTAAAGGCGTTGAATTTGCACCAACCGAGGGCTAGTATTCCATTCCTTTCGTTCGACCCGTAAGGGTATATTCTATGTTTGACACTTTGGGAGGTTGCATATTTTATTGGTAGGTGTGCGAGTGTTGAGTGATATGTTCTATTTCCAATATCTAGTTAGAGGTGACACAACCAACGAAGCAAAGAATTTGACTCTGCAATTAGGGAGAGTACTTGGTCGGTACATGTAGTTTGGAAGATGAGGGCGCCACAAAAGGTATATGTCGCGGTGAACAGTGAACTGACAAGTGCTTTGCCCCAGCTCGACGTCTTTGAAGCATGAGTGAGTTGAAGCGGTAATATAAAGTAATATAAAGTGGGAAATATTTCTACTAGTCGGTATGAAACATCTAAGGCGGAGAGATGGGAATTTGAAATTTAATGAGGCTCTCGTGCGACGATCATGCGGCGAAACACGATAGCGTTATCAAGCCTTGTGGCTAGAGAGCGTTATCGCAAAGGTTACCCTACTCCAGGACGAGGGGCAGTTCCTCCCGTGCACTATCCGCGTACGTCTGGCACAAACCGCATGAACCATGGCTTCTCAACTACTTCCCCTAGGTATGATTCTTGACTTTATCTATAGATTATCAATAACTAATTGTTATACTGTAACAGAACTCGTCGATAAGTGTGTGGGCTCCAGAATATGGGTTGTCATGAAAGGCGAAAAAGGTAGAACTGCTTAACCCAGTCCCCCAAACCCCGCAGTGTTGGTGTTGGAATGTTTCTAATTCATAATCTAGAATTCAGCGGGACTTTAGTCGGCTTTGACGATTACGTCAGTAAGTCTACTATTATCCGTATTGTTGCTTGATATAAAACTGACCTCAATCGCAGATATGGTGCTCGAGGACGTGACCGAATAGTGAGTGGAAATAGGCCCGTTCTATAAAAGAAAGTTCTTATTCCTAACATAATGCCACTTAGCGAAAGTGATGGTGAACAGGTTAAGCTCAAGAAGATCCTTTTGAACGGGAATAACATCTGCATGGTATGATACCTCTCAGCTTCAGGCCTCCCATTGGAATTGGCGGAAGCTTACTCGAGTCTTTTGAAAGTTAATCCCCGGTGGCGACGGGCCCTCTGGAGCTACTGCTGCTTCCTAAAAAGAAATAAAAAAAAATACCCGGCGTTCAGATTTGGGTTGATGTTCACGATATCATGTATAAAAGTCAAGCAGAAATAATAATTCTGGTGGTTTTCTCGAGGGGACTATAGCCGAAATACAGATACAAGTACGAATCCAACAAAGGCGAATTATTTAGAAATGGTTAGGACCTTGCAATTACATATAGTTTGATTGATTATGGTGTATGCTTGAGAATTACAACAAAAGTAATACAATTGCACATGTGGGAGCTCGAGCTACTGGAACTGGAGATTGAAAATAAGTAACTGGATAACCAGAATTGTAAGTAGCTAGGTAACAAGAATTGCAAGTACTAGCTGGGTAACCAAAATTGTGTAAAAAAATATTTAAATTTCCCTTGGTTTCGTAGTACATACATGCTTCTTCAAGTGGGACAAGGGGCTGGCGTCCACGCATGCTGACGTAGAAACGAGACTGCTGACATAACGGCGGGCAGTGGATAGGCGCGGCGACACAAAACCTCCCAAGGACCCAAGCAACTCTACACTTCTAAGCTCATAATCTATTCATTCCGCCATCTCCCATCCCACTCCATCGCCCTCCATCTATCATAGGAATTTCCAGCCATCGCATACATCTCGCGATCTCATCCAAGGCTGCATTATGGTCGATAAAAGCTCTCTTCGCTCAAACAGAGGTTCTAAAGACTCTAAAGATAACAAGAAACCCGATCAAAAGCAGCCAGCCAAGTCTTCATCTCGGAAGCTACCGGTTAAGAAATCAGCATCAGGAAGTTCGGAGATGGAAGATAAACAGCTTGATTCTGAGGACGTTGATATGAAGGATGACTCTGCTCCCCAGAAACCGATAGCTATTAAGAAAGTTGGGGCAGGGGGAGATGTGGAGATGGAAGATGGGAAAGCTTCCGGAAGTGATGGTGATGATAAGAAGGATGAGGCTAAAGAGGACCCCATAATTGTGGCCATTAATGGTATATTGAACTCCTATGATTTTAAGTGCAAGTGTAATGGATGACAAGATGAGCTCATGACAATCAATACAGAAATCAAAGATAACTTCACTCTTCTGGAGAGAGCCGTCACTCTTTTCGATGCTCGATTCACTCTTCGAGTTCTCCGTACGATTTCATCTCTCCGTCGGCGTCTTACCCCCGAGATCCTCGCAAAGGTGATTAAGGAAACATACCCCGCGGAACACCCGTCTGTGCGAAGGCTAGAGGCGGTCATCAAATACGACGGAGCTATGGAAGTAGAAAGTACCGAGGTGGCTTCCAAAGAAGGCGCCAGCGGGAATGTATTACCAGAGGTCGATATATACATTCATCTGCTCGCACAGATCTACCTTCTGGACCAGAAATCCCTCGAAGAAGGCGCAAAGTTCTCTACTGAACTCGTTGAGACGATTCACTTACTTAATCGCCGGACCCTAGATTCACTCGCCGCTAAAGTTTACTTCTACTATGCTCGTTTCCATGAGCTCCTCCCCTCTCCTGCTGTGACCAGTATTCGCCCTCAGCTTCTGGCATCTCTTAGGACTGCCACACTACGCAAAGACATCGATACTCAAGCTACTCTCATCACACTTCTTCTGCGTAACTACCTCCTCACGTCACATATCACGCAAGCCGATCATCTTGTCTCTAAGACTGTTTTCCCCGAATCTGCTGCGAATAATCTCATTGCCCGCTATCAGTATTATCTGGGACGTATTCGTGCAATCCAACTTGATTACACTGCGGCTCACAATGAGTTGGTTGGGGCTATCCGTAAAGCACCTCAAACTGCTGCAGCGGCTGGATTCGTCCAGGCTGCAAACAAACTGAATATAATTGTCGAGCTACTTATGGGCGATATTCCTGAACGATCCATTTTCCGCGAACCAAGGCTTGAGAAGGCTCTCCACGCCTATTTCTTACTGGTTCAAGCTGTTCGCATTGGAGAACTTGATGCGTTTTTTGATACCCTCAACACCCACGCAGAAACATTCAAAAAGGATGGAACATATTCACTTATCCTTCGCCTCCGTCAGAATGTCATCAAGACCGGTATTCGTATGATGAGCTTGAGTTACTCTAAGATTTCCTTGCGAGACATTTGTGTCCGACTCAGGTTGGACAGTGAGGAAAGCGCCGAATACATTGTAGCCAAGGCGATTAGGGACGGTGTCATTGAAGCGACCTTGAACCATGAGAAGGGTTACATGCAAAGCAAAGAGTTGTTAGATGTGTATGCCACTCAAGAACCACAGGAAGCTTTCCACGAGAGGATTATGTTCTGCATGAGTTTGCATAACGATAGTGTCAAGGTATGATTCGTCCCTGCTCCAGGAGGGTGTCAATGAGTTTAGCATTTAACTAATGATATCTTTTCTCTCATAGGCTATGAGGTTCCCAATGAACCAGCACAGGCTTGAGCTAAAGAATGCACAGGAGGCTAGGGAGAGAGAAAGAGAATTGGCCAAGGAGATACAAGATGGAGAGATTGATGACGATGATGCAGGTGGCGAGTTTGAAGGATTGTAGAATAGCTTCCCTATATGGTCGTAAATGTGAGGTGAAATTGGGTTAGTTAAAGGGGTCAAAACTTTGTAACGAAAAGGAGGTTCGAATGTTTAACCTTTTTTTTTTCTGTGCTTCTATATCCGCATTACCGTCAACTTCAGCAGCATTATTACACGTATAGAGGTGTAACTAAGCATTTCCTCTAGTACATATATACCTTGATCGATCCCTCTTTTTTCGAGCTCTACCCTATTTTACTTTAACTGTAAATGATACTTCCATGGGATAACACATTGCTCGGGTGGGTTCTTTCACGGGGATACCGAGCATGGGAATGTGAAAAATCTATTGGTTCCAGCGTAAATAATGGCCTATGAGCTCAATAAACCGTGGTTTTACCTTGACCACTGACTCGAACAGAAAATTCACAAGGTTGGTCTGGAGAAAACTGGATAGCTGATCGAAAAACAATCTCTGCTTGGTATAATCACAACACCCGCGGTATCGGGGGATTGTTTGGTCTTTAGTGCCAAGCCTCAACCATTCGCTAGGGTGCGGGTTAAAACTACATTTTGCACATCAACAACTAGAGTATAGTCCGGTCTAACTTGAGAAGTAGATTGTAGTTTTGTTGTTGCCGTCGTCGCCGAGTTCAATGACCTAGGTTAAAATCCCCGGATGAGGAGGGGATCCCTGTCAATTTACTGCTATTTTTACTTTTGGACCGATTTTGCCGCGCCGGGGTTTTTTTGGACATTCGTATTCACTGGGGCCATCTACACAGAGATACATACATACACGAGTCCATACATTTCTTGGCGGTAATTATCGGTCGAGTGATCTTTTATGATTCATAGTTATGATCCAGCTCACCCTGGGCCACTAGCTTTTATAGATCTTGAAGTCAGCAAGAAAATAACTCAAAAAATTTCCCTAACAACAACACAGAAACTGTGAATGCTACGGGTTCGCACCGGTTTATCCACCGTATATAACAGGTTCATAAACTATCACTCGACTATAGGAACCTACTGTAAACTCGTTTGTTGTTTGTTACGTCATTGGTTGTATGCAGCCCGACACATTGCAAACTCAGGGACATGAGGGGTAGACCAGATTATCTAATACAAGGAATAATGTGGGTTTTCCCCAAGAGGAGATTTGAATTATTGCCTTCGTTATAGATAATGAAACTGCACCTCTTGTCCCTCTTTTTTTGAGCATCCTCATGTCTAACACGCACAAAAAAGCCCCAGGCACCGCTAGTCAAAAAGCTCGATGTAACCCAGTACCTCAGACCGCGAAAATTAGGTGCTCGTGACTGCCGACTATTTTGTTCTTCCTCTCAGGAGCCCCCTCCCTGTCAATCACGTAGTTTAAGCATACCCAAAATCCCAGAATTTGCCCTTGTTAAATGAATACCCCCTCCAACCTTAGGTGATCGGTTCAACAACACCCGAACTTAAGATTTCCGTGTAGATAGTGTGGTATAAAATAAGATTTTCCGACAGATGCTGACGGAAGGAAGCTTAGCGGACGGGTGGGTATTAAAGCGCCACTATGAAATGATTGCGAGAGATATCGATGTGGTCCTCTGGTAAAACTACACTTCCAAGGGCGTAATGCCCGGTTACATTTTCTGCACAACAGTACAATCTGGGAACAAGACCAGGGTACGGCCTCCCCCCTCCTCGCTCAACTAGAGGCCGAGGGTCAACTCTCGGGAATGCACTAGCCCGTTCACGTTTTGAATTGGATGAACTAACCACTCCTTCTTTTCCACGTCGAGCTGCCGATGACCCTTTTTGGCGTGTGTAGAACATAAATAAGAAGGGGAAAGAGTATGGCCCGCCCACCTGTCGGTGTTAATCGTTGCATATTTCCCATACTCTCTCCCATTGACAGATAGGAACTACCTGAATGGCAGAGTCTGACAACTGGGCGTCGGTCACTAATCAAGTCCTGCAGCTAGCTTCGCTTCGGGTTTTGGGCTACATGTGGCTTGGTACCGTGATGATGGGGGGGCAGGGGCATGTTTTGACCGGAGGGTATTGCCGGACAATAACGTGGGGTTTGGGGGTATCTCGGTACTTCCCTTGCTGTGATCTAGATCTGCTCCAATTTCTTAATACGTGCACGGTTACTCTGAAATTAAAGTGTCTATAATCGATAGATAACCTAATCTGTGCTAAAACCGGCTACTTTAGGTATCCCTCAAGTCTCATATATCCCTCTATCCATAAGCCTGGAAACGGTGCCAATCCCTTCGCATGCTCCCATAGGTAATGGCATCTTATTCCTTCGACTGTTGGCTTGGGGTTGGGTATGGTATTTCTAGGGAGCCGTTGATAGTTATGGCGATGTGTACAGTGGAGGTTAATGATGTCGTGGCAGAGATGTGGTCGGTAGTGGAGTATTTAGCGAGATTTCCAACAGTTAAACCTCCCAATACAATCATCATCTATCTTACTTCTGTCGAAATACCTGCTAAAGTATGGCGTGCATTTAGGCTAGTAGGTGAGTCGAACATTTATAAGAAGATATAGAGGCTAAGAAAGTGGCCAGGAGTCGTTATCCTTGTGATGAGATACGACTAAAGTCGAAGTTGAATCTCCTTGGTGGAGCTAGGTGTCTAACTATAAACCAGGACGACGAAGGAGCTCGATTTAGGTTTCTAAGGCTGCAAGTCTTCAGTTGAAATATATACTGGAAACGTTTCCGGATAACACGAAGCATTATCAACCAGGGGCGTGGTGTTAACTAAGGTTATATTTCAAGGCCAACTACATATTCGGTGTATGTGAATGGAGAGTACAGGAGAGATTTTGGGCCAGAGCAGAATAGGAGAAATCCTATAAGATAACCCGCGGGCGCATTTGCGGGGACTATATAAGTGCATTAAAGCCCTCATTTTTATGACATTTTCTTTCTCCGTATACTGGAATGGCTACGATATACCAGAAGCTGTTTCTTATGAAGATCCTCTCATTTTGATCGAGACAGTTTCATGGCTAGCAGTGAGAGGCCTTGCCTCCAAAGTTGGCGTCGGTTCCAGATACATCATTGAAGGCTCGATCATTAGGTCTTTTAATTGGGATCTGCGGTGCACAGTAAGCTATAAAAAAGGTAGTTAAGTCTGCATCCAGATTTGCCACACGTTTGTAAGACATCTTCGATAAAGTGCAGATTCGATACAGAATTCAAAATTCCGCGATGTCACGATCCGGATCATATTGCAGTCAGCAAGTCAAGAAAAACTCGAAAAACACGAGTGATCATCTATGAATCAATAACCTCACCGAAAGTGTATGCAAACAAAACATCCAGGTATCCAGGGTACATGTAGGCTATATCCGGGGAGAGGAGGGCGCAACAATACAACGGGCTACTCTACGCTCGGCATAATTCCCGGCGGGAGTGGGTGGGGATCAAACCTACCAGGATTCCCTCTTTCAACCCCTCACACCCTGGTCGGACACTCTTCTAGCCGAAAGTTCAAGCTTTTTTCTTTTCTTTTTCCAGTCGTTCGTGGCTGCATGTTGTTGGTCTGTTTTGGATGCCGAGTGGCCGTGATTAGTATTACTGGGGAGTGAGTGGGTGCCAGGAAGTGTGTGTAGAACTTTCAAAAGATCTAAATACCAAGCATTGTGGGGATCGAAGGTGCAGCTGGATGGAGATGGGGCAGGCATATATAAGGACCCGACAATCTCCACGCCCAGCTTTCACCAAGACTTTTTTCCCACCCCCCCCCCAACCCTGGGTCTTGAATAAATACCAAGCAGCACCCTCACCATGCACAGCTTTTCCCGCTGTTCCTCACTGCTACTGCTGTTACTACCAGTATTATTATTTCTTGTCTTGCCCGCGACCACAACCCCCTCAACTACCGTCGACAGCACCGAACCCCCACCAATAAACCTCCTAAATCCCATAATACACGCCCGCATATCGCTGCGCTGCGAGACGAGTTCCACCTCGCCATGGTCCAGCGACGTACTTAACGCCGCCACAATCCTATACACGCGCGGGCGCAAGCGGTGCCAGCAAACCAACACGGTGGGGTCTGTGTGCAAGCTACTGAAGACGCTCGACACAGCATCAGTGGGGATATGTGCGATACCAGGGCACTGGGTGACGTGCCAGCAGGCTGGAGAGGTTGCGGGGAAACTGGTGGAGAAGTGCCAGAAATTTCTGAATGGCGCGTGGAGAGTGGGCGGGTATGTGCTGGTCGACCATAACACGAGACCAGAGGTAGTGAGGATTATCGTTTATAATAGCGACGATAATTAAAGGGGGGGGGTGTGGGTGTGGGTGTGGTAGATGGTGGGTGGTTGGTGTGATTGTGATTGTGAGTGAGGCGAGATATGGATGTGGATTCGGGCCGTTGGTGCCGCGATTTCCGAGCGAGTGATGATGGGTGACCGGGGAGTGAATGAGGGGTTAGCTTGATGACTACATAGACGGGCTGGGGGGAGGAGTATTTGCATTTTTATTTTTTTTATTTATTTTATTAATCTTTCCGAGTGAGCTAGGGAGATGTTAATGGGCAATGAAGGAGAAAAAAAAAGGGTCGGAGAGAAGGGATCTTTGAAGGATCGCTGTCCTGGTAGACGCGTATCCTTTGTGCGTGGACAGGTTGTGTCGTTTTGAGGGTTTTTGGTTGTGGGATTGATTGCGGGCAGGGATGGTTGGCGTTTCGGATGATGGGCTAAGCTTTCTCAGATCCAGATGGCGTTTGGCTACAGCTGCACACTGACTGTGCACACTCTGCTTTGGGAATGGTCGGCGCACAATTGCAAGTGCGTCCATCCAGCCATCCAGCCATCCAGCCATCCAGCCATCCATCCTATGAAGAGCCTAGGCCGGTGTCGTTATTCGACTGTATATTATTATTGTTATCGCGAAAGTGTATTGATATGTATTATTATTCTGTGGGAGGCTGCTATTATGCTGATTGCGATATTCCGACCGTTAGCTGATGGTTGAAACATACATGTGTTATGTAAAGACATGTGTGCTTCATGACCTCTTCCTTTTTTTTTTTTTTGTCTGTGTTTATCGTGTGCTTTCATGCAAGGCGTTTGAGTGTTTATTTGTTGGGATTGAAACATGCACTGTCCAGGGAGCATGTGAGACCCTTCCCTTTGTGGCTTGTATGTTGTTTCCATGTATGTATGTCCGCGGCACAGGAAACATGTACTCTGGGCTGCGCTTGCAACTCGAGAAAAGCGCTGCGCGCGTACATGTATCTACCTGTGTGTTCCCGTCCGAGAATTTAGAACGAGTACTCTATGGTCAGCCAGAGCCAGGGAGGGTAGCACTCAAGAAAGACACCCCAAAGAGGACACTGTGGAACCAAAACCTCTCAGCATGTAGATCGGACTCTTGCTCTGACTCCTGCTCTAACCTCGACTGCCTGAATGATGTCAGCGGTACGCCTCTCCTCTGCCTGTGCCATTCCATTCCTACCGAGCCACAGAACTCACCAGAACACCGAGCCTAGCTAGCTTATCGAATCCACAGCCAGCAGCCTTGAGTGATTGATTATCAATCAGCCCAACCCACGTACGGGATGCCGCAGCGAGAGGGGGGGGAATGCCATCTACTCTGCCCGCCCTCCCTGGTCCGAGACTCCGGTAAGTGTTTTCCTCGACCGACCACAGAGCGGGCACAGCTCCTCGAATCCATTTGTCGTCACGGCCAAGCACTCGGTCGTCTTTCCACCCAGCGCCTTGGCACACGTGACCGTTGAACCCCTGTCTCAGCTGCAGGTCGAGAACGGAAGGAAAGCTAACGGAGAGCAAGAGCAGCCTGAAGTCGAGTGTGAAGCTTGCTTGCTTGCTTGCTTGCTTGCTTGCTTGTACCTTGCTACATACATACCTACATACATACATACACCACCATATCCATCCCACCTCGGCCCACTATCACGAACATATCCCACCACCAAGCCTCCCACCCCCACTATCACTCCTGGGAAGCTCACGAAGAAAACATACATAGATTTCTAACTCCATCTCCACAAACATGGCCGCCCGCTTCTCCGTACAGTCCCCCGCCATGCCAGCTCCTACACAGGCCTCGGGCAGGGGCGTGAGGTCCTCGTTCCCGGCTGCAAAGATGGACCTTGCCCCACCTCCGTCCATGACACGCCGCCGCTCACAGCTCCAGCTCGGCCATGGCAGCTCAAATAAACCGATATTACCAGCTGGTTGACCTCTCCCTCTATCTCTCTCTTTTTTTTTTTTACAATCCACCCCCCCTGAAAACCTCTTCTCCGCTCTGCCCAATTCTTTCGTTCTATACATATAATAATAATAATACACACACAAAATGCTGAGATGTTCTATTGCCTTTTTTTTCCCCACTCGCAGAAATCTTCGCCACAATCCTCGAATACCTGCCCGTGGCCGACCTGCTGCGCTTCGCCCGCGTCTCCCGCCGCATGCAGGAGATGGTCTACGACGACACGCGCTGGGTCTACCGGCTGCGCCTCATGGGCGTGTGGAACGAGACCGAGGCGCGCAAGCGCTTCGAGGAGGCCATGAAGCGCCGCCGCGCCACAATGGCCGCCGCGAAGGCCCAGGAGACCGCCGCCGCGGCCGCCCTCGACGGGAACAGGTCGTCGACCATCTTTGACGCCACGGAGGAGGAGACGAGGGCCCGGCGGCCCGTGAGCGATGGGCTGGACATGATGGCGCCGTTGAGGGCGGAGCCGCCGCCGCCGCAGAGGGCGAGTCTGAGGGATCCGGCGAGCTTGTTGTTGGTGCTGCCGAGTGTGAAGAGTGTGAGGGGCTTTGCGAGGCAGGAGTATGGAAGGGTGTATGGTGCGCTGGCGCCGCTGTATTTTGATCTGGCGAAGGCCAAGACGCATACGGACCCGGTGGTGTTTAGGATCTTTAGGGACCCGGAGCAGCAGGCGAGGATGTTGGCGCAGATGAAGGTGTTTGCGCTGAGTGATACGGCGTATGGGTTTGGGGAGCGCAGGGAGAGGTTGAACCTTATGGCGGGCATCTTTGAGAATGCGGCGTTGAGGGAGTTTGAAGGGTGCGCTTCTTCTTTTTTTCTTGGATTTCGGTTTGTCTTGCGGTGCTGATTGTTCGATAGAGGCTATGAGTCGGGCGATATAGACGGCCGGATGAAGCGGTATGCTAATGTACTAATATTGCTTAATGGAGGCCAGGCGTGTGTGCAGCTATTTGTGCAGAAGCACCCCGTCATGTTTGAGCGTGAGAAGCTCGGGAATCCCATGGACTCGTTTGACAAGCCGACGGCGGGGCAGTTCTCACTTGCGCCCTCGGCGACCTTCTTTGACCGGCTATCCAAGGTGATCAACGAGCAGGCCTCCGTCATAGACCGTGTGTTCCCCCCGCACGTCAACGCGATGATGCCCTTCCTCGAGAGGGTTTCGGAGGACGTGATCGCAGAGTACATCACGCCGATACTCGAGGAGGCGCACGAGCGGGACACCGAAATGTACCTCAAGGCGGTCGCGGGCATCTACACGCAGTGCGTCAACTTTGCGCGCACGCTCACGCCCACGGGGGGCTACAGCGACGACCTGTGGAAGCAGGACGTGCGCACCGTGATCGGCCGCGTGTGGGAGAGCCATGTCGACCTGTACCTCAGCGACGAGCTCGAGTGGTTCCGCAAGCGCGGCGAGACGGAGGTCGAGAGGTGGGAGAAGAAGATCCTCGACGCCGACGCCGCCACAGAGTCGTTCTTCATGTCGAATATCAACAGAGAGGCCGACAAGCGCGACTTTCTGTCGACGTTCAAGAAGGTCATCCTCATGCCCGTGTCGGTGATCCCGTCGCCGTTTGCCCGGAATAGTGTGGTGCTGCCGGCGAAGGCGGAGGTGGCGGCGGCAGCGGCGGCGGCGGACCCGAGCCCGTATGCGGGGACAACGACGATAGAGGCGGCTAGTGCCGGCACGGTCGGCCCCCCGCCGACGACGGAGCTGGCGGCGAAGGCGGCAATCATGAATTCTAGACTCGAGGGCATCCGCTCGCTCTTCAGCCTCGAGGTCGCACTATCGCTCGTCCACAACGCCAAGGAGAGCCTCGAGCGCGCCGCCCTCTTTGCCCGCAGCGGCGGCCAGACCGGCGAAGAAGCGTATTACCCCCCTCCCTCCCTCCCTCCTCCTTCCAGTCCACCTGTTCCAGCTAGCTAACACCACCGCCAGCAAAGAACAATGCGAAGCCATCTTCATCGCGCTGCTGCAGGTGCTTGGCCCCCGCCACGTCAAGGCCGGCTTCGACAAGGCCGTCGAGCACCTCAAAGCCTACGACCCGCGCACCGTCACCCAACACAACCGCGTCGCGCCGCTCGTGACCTTCCTGGAGCTCGTCAACGTCGGCGACCTAATCCAGCAGATGATCGACGTATTCTACGAGCAGGAGCTAGTCGCGGGCAAGCTGACGGACCGCAACGACTTCCTCAACCCGGCCGCCAAAGAAAAAAAACGCTTTGAACAGATGCTGGACGAGCGCGTGGCCGCCGGACTCAACATGGGCATCGACGTACTCATGGACGAGGTGGACCACATCTTCGCGACGACGCAGCAGCCGGCCGACTTCAACCCGGGCGTGCTGAACGGCGTGGGCGGCGGGGAGGCGCCGGCGATGGTGGACTTTGACATTGGGCCGAGTAAGACGGCGGTGCAGGTGGTTGAGGTGGTCAGCGGGCATACGAAGCTGCTGGTGGGCAGCACGGATAAGAATGTGCTCGATGTGTTCAACCAGGAGGTCGGCGTGAGGCTGTTTGCGTCGCTGTGTAAACATATCAAGCGGCAGCGTATCAGTGTCGATGGGGCTATCAAGCTCATCAGGTCTCTCTCCCCCCCCCCCCTTCCCCCCGCTTCGTCCCTACTAACAGAGCAACAGCGACATGAACCACTACCACGCCTACATCACGACGCTCAAGATCAAGGCGCTCGAAGCATACTTCAACGCGCTGCGCGAGCTGTCGCAGATATACCTCATCGACCCGGGGCACGCGCGGCAGATGGCGACGGTGATTGCGGACCCGAGCCGCTTCGGCGGCATCTTTAGGGTCGAGGAGGTGTATGAGTATGCCACGAGGAGAGAGGACTGGTATCGCGTCAAGAAGGAGGTGGAGAGGGCGATGTATGGGATTGGGTGTGTGGTTTGCTAGTTTGCGGGAGGAGGGGGAGGGGGGAGGGGCAGTGGATTAAAATAGTTATTGGGATAGAGGACTTTTTGCTGTTTTTTTTTTCTTTCTCTTTCTCTTTGGGTTTTTCTGTTTATTGAGCGAGCAAGCGAGCGGACGAGCAGGTGGTGGTTATGTGGTGGTGGTGGTGGTGGTGGTGGTGGTGGTGGTGGTGGTGGTGGTGGTGGTGGGGGAGGTTCATAGAGTATCACTCGATTCTAGAGGTGGTGTTTGTTGTGTGGGCGCACGTGGTAATGTACACCTACATACAGTGATCATGAGTGAATTGTGATTCGTAATTCAGTAGATCAAGGAAGGTAATGGCATCTGGAGCCTCGTAGAGTAACCATACCTAAAGAAGCCATTCAGACCATACGTACCGGAGACCTAAGGCCATCGCGCCACTGCGATATGTAGTGCGCACGAACTATGCCGGATTATGGCAGGGGGACCTTTGTGGGTGCTACATACCGGCCTGTTTTAGGGCGGTTGGTGGGGAGCGAGCTGGGGGGGGGGGTGGGTCATGGGGTATCACTCGGTGGTGTAAATACCTTACCCCACACACGCCGTGGATAGGAGACAAAAGAACCTGTGGAAATCTTGAGAGCTACATACGTGGTGACTATACTCAATGCTTTAGACAGCACTGGCGGCGTAGATAACGAACACCCGCGCGGCCATAGTAGAGACAAGGCATCCGGCTCATTCCAGTGCCAAGATTAAAACACTTTCGCATAATTAACTCTGCTAGCATAATCTCACCGCGGTACAACCTCAAGAAGCCTAGCTATTCGCAGATGCACAGACAGCGGCCTAATATTTTATTCGTTGGTTCAAGACCGGTGAAAGAAAAACAGAGCTCACAAACTCGAGGCCGATTATTTGGTGTTTAGATTTTTTTTTTTTAATTAAGATGGGGTTTTGGGGTTTTTTGTTGTACCCGCTCCGTAGAGAGGGCGGGGAGGGGCTGGGGGAACGGAGGTGATCACGATCAATCACTCGGACTGCGCGTGGAGATTGGTTGTGATCTACTCCATTCGCAGGGGGGACAGGGAGAGACTTTTCTTTACTCTACGCATAGAGAGAGTAGAAAGAATACAGGAAGGAGAAGAGATCACTATCAACCCCTCGGACTGAGCCCAGAGACTGATAGCAACCTCCGCTCCCGCCGTCAGGGACGAGAAACAGAGCCTAAAGACCACAACAGACCGACTGGCAATCTTTAGTTACTCTCTCCATAGAGAGCAAAAAAAAGACGAAGAGGTAAAAGATCACTATCACTCCCTCGGAGAGCACCCAGAGACCGATAGTGATCTTTCCTCCCCAGCGGAAGCAAAGGGGCGAAGAGTAGTCCTAACGCAACTCGGCCCCTCCCAGCTCCCAGGCCGCAAAGCCCAAGAACCAGAAGAGGCCGAAAAAAAAAAAAAACCGCTCACAGCGGAGACCTACCGCAACTCGGGCCCCTCCTGGTCCTCGGGCAAGAGCCCAAGAACCAAGAGAGGCCCAAGAAACAACCTAACGTAACTCAGGCCCCTCCCGGCCCCAAAAGGGGGCCAGGAGAGGCCAAAGAAACGACCGAACGTAACTTAGCCCCTTCTGGTTGCTGGTGGACAGAACCCAGCAACCAGAAGAGGCTAAAGAAACGGGTCCCCTTGTGTGGCAGCACAAGTCCCAGAAAGTGGGGGACTTGCGCTGCCACACAAGGGGAGCAGGCAGGAGTAAAAAAAAATAAAATAAAATAAAAAAATAAAAAAAAAAAAATAAAAAAAAAATTAACTCGGGAGGAGTTCTTGCCTCAAAGGCTACTCCCCCCGGAGGAGTTCTTGCCGCGAAGGCTACTCCTCTAGGGGGAGTACTTGCCCTAAGGCTGCTCCCCCGAGGGAAAAAGTTGGGTGGGGGAGAGGGCAGGCTTATATACTCTTGGGGAGTTTGCCAAGACTGGATTTTGGCTGACAGGATTGCAGAGTAAGGAGGGTTAGCCCTGTGGATGTGAGTTATGGACACCTTGCTGGTTTAGCCACAGGAGAAAATTTGTTATCTTGGGTTGCGGGTGGGACTTAGCCATACGTGGGTCGTACCTGCTGTAGGCGTAGATTTGTTACTTACATAGCTACCCAGTGCTACGTACATGTAGCCACTGCTGCCCAAACTGTAGTCATTTCCGAGCTCTCACAATCTCTAGAGATTTCTACCCCTTCTCTTCACTGTTTTTAGACCTTCATGTCGACGGCATGTCAAAACAGAGGTTTGGTGGGAAATAGTGTTTTCCACAGTATTAGTGCCATGTATACACTGAGATTGCAGTTTCCGGGTCGATATCGAGAGGAACATTGGAAGTATTCGAATTCCCGGATTCTCCAGTGCAGTTTCGTCAATTTTTGATAGTAAAATACAACTTTGGTGGGTCTAAATGTAGTAATTATCTGCCTCGAGCAGCTCGAGCACCTCGAGACATCACCTCTCTTCGTATGAGCGAGAAAAAGCATGGACCATACGAGGCAGAGGCACCTTGAGGCACCTGTCACTGCTCGCACAGCTCGAGCAGCCTCGTAGACCACACTAGTGGGAAATTTTGTGTGGCAACGGAATTACATGTACTTCTTTTCATAACTCTGGTGTAAAAAAATATCTGCTAATTTTGAGACCCAATTAAGGATTTCCTTTCTTTCTCCCCCCCCCCCCCCCCCTCTTTTCGTAACGCTCAAAACCCTTCCCTTCAGCATTACTGTTTAGCACTCAAACTCCGTTTTCAAGAATCACCATTCGTACTCCCCTCACAGAGCCGTTGCATAACAGAGTTCTATAACCATAAAAGCCGCCGAATGGGCCCTAAGATGTGCAGCGAGCTATGCGTTCTAAAAATTTTAGGGGATGTGTGTAGTCGGTGGAGGTGGATCATGGGATATCACTCGGTAGACTAACACTGACACCCCGTAATCGTGCAAAGTGCAGCCGAACGGCAGTAATCCATACCGTATTTCGAATTACATACATATAAAATATATCAGTGTGGGGTCCATTTCCACCGTCTACTTATTGGTTGCCGCTGGAGCAGCTAGCAGGCTGCTCGTAGATGGGCGGATGAGCACGAAACTATATATGTACATGTACCCATTGGAAAGTGATGCAAATACCCCCAGATATCTACATTTTGGCACAACACAAAACACTCCCTAAATTAAATCCAGAATTTGGGTAAAGAACGTCTCTACTGTGCCTGAGAATACATTGGGCAGTGTTTTAAAATAAAATATCCACTTTCAAATCAAAAATTCGCTCTGAGGTAGCGAAAACATAAAGTAAAGAACCCAGAAAGCATTGATGACAGACATTTTTCTTACATTCTTTTATTACCAAGAGAATCTACACACTCAAATTGACCTCCATACCCTCATGTGAAGATTTATTCTCTCGTGGTTGCAATTGAGATATCGGGGAGTGGCCTTCGTGGCAAGTACTCCCCCTGGGGAAGTAGCCTTCGTGGCACCTGGGGGAGTAGCCTTAGAGGCAAGAACTCCCCGAGGACGGGGAGTAGCCTGCGTGGCAAGAACTCCTCCCGAGTTCCCTTGTGTGGGCAGTACAACCAGTCTGCCTTCTTTGCAGAGAAGGTATGACTTGTACTGCCCCTCAAGGAAACCGTTTCTTCAGCCCCCTCTAGTTGCTAGCTCTGCAGAGTCAGCATCCAGAAGGGGCTGAGTTACGTTAGGACGTTTCTTTGGCCTCTCCTGGTCCCCCAGTTGGGGGACTGGGAGGGGCCGAGTTGCGTTAGGCCACTCTCTTCTCGGCCTCTCCTGGTCCCTGGGCTTCGGCCCGGGGATTAGGAGGAGCCTGAGTTGCGTTAGGTGGCTTCGCTGTTCCTTTGTGTCCCTTTTTTTCGCTCTCCTCGCGGAGGGTGCAGAGATCACTATCAATCTCTGGGCGCAGTCCGAGGGGTTGAGAGTGATCTCACTGTCCTTGTGCTCTTTCCCGTCACATATTTACTTCGGAGGTTGAGTATATTCTCAAAATGTGGAATTAGGTGTAGTGCTACAGCACAGCAATTAAGTATTTCCAAGCAGTAGCTGTCTTGTGTAAGTGTTCGGGAGAAAGTGGGAATGCAATTGGCCATTAATGCAGACAGGCTTATCAACTTAACATTTCCTAGGTCAATGATAGTCCCGCTTATTCCATAAGAAAAGTGATAGCGAGACTACCAACGCCATTCTCAGCGCCAACCACATCATCAAGTTGGCGAGACAGTATCCGCCAGTGTTCACACTACATCTCAATATACCAGCCCGAATCGGTACCAAAAACGAAGTAGGTATACAATACCAGTGCTTTATCCAGGAGAAAGCTATATCGTATAGTATATCTATAGACTAAAGACATTTAAATCACAAACACTCGTCAGACATCATTTCTAAGAACTATACTAATACGAGCCTGGTGGGGCTCCCATAACGCTCGACTCTCCTACAGCCTTAATCATGACACTTGCAAACCTCCCTGATATATCATCGTCCTGCCTGGCTGTCTCAACACCCATGAGAATCTTCTTGATACCCACGTTCAAATCCCTCCTTCCAGTAGCATCCGCCAACTCCCTCACAGTCTTCATCTGCTCCTCTTCTGGGAATTGCAACTCCCGCAAAATGTATGTGAGCTCACGGTGATCTGCAACGTTAGGTACCGCGATTTCTGCATCGAACGACGTCAATAAGTCCATCTGAGATAACACAGAGCGTTCAGTGGTGGTGGCAATGATAAGGAGTCGCCTGCCCTTGGGTGGCTGTTTACGCAAGAGGACCATGAGCGTTTGAAGGACAGCATTGGAAAAGCGTGGTCCAATGGGAACCCAGTCGAGGATACGCTCGATGTTATCGACCACCACAACACTGAGGGAAGATTTATAGGCGTCCATGAAGATCTTAGATAGGAATGAAACTTTACTGGCTTCGTTGAACCCAACCATCGCTTCGGGGGAAATAAGCTTGATGAATGGAAATCCGGATGCCATAGCAATTGAGGCAGCGAGTGCGGTTTTTCCAGAGCCAGGTGGGCCGTGCATGAGAACTGATACAAGAGGTGTCTTTTCTGATTTGCGGACCTGCTCAACAAACAGTCGTCCCTCCGCAAGTATGTTTTCGATATTTTGAGAGTAACGGATGATTCCACCTTGAATGCATGCATCGAGCTCCTCTTCGCTCACACCGAAAGCTGGTCGGACTTCTTCAAGCGCGTTCATAAAGTCCTGGCGGTTGACTTTCATGTTCTCAATATCCTCAGAGATCCCCGCAACAGTACCAACTTTGACATGACGATTGAAGGCAAATGATGATGCGCTCTTAATAAGACCTCCAATTTCAGCCCCTGAGAAGTTCTTGGTAACTGCCGCTAGCTCATCAATGTTTACGTCTGGGTCGATGACATTATTTTTGCGCATTTTGTTTGTATGAATTTTCAATATTTGACGACGACCAAACTCATCGGGTAGAGAAATTTCCATATGAACCTCGAGACGGCCTGGACGGAGTAGAGCCTCATCGATCATGTCCAGACGGTTAGTCATACCAATAACAAGAATGTTGTTCAGTTGGTCGACACCATCGAGCTAGATATACCTATCAATTTCCCATCCCGGAAGATAGTTGAGGAGGTGGGTTCAAACCTTAGAAAGAAGCTGATTGACAACTGAATCACCAACACCGGTCCCATCATTCTTGCTTCCTCTCTGTTTACAGATAGCATCTAATTCATCAAAAATGATTATGTGCAAGCCGCTCTCTTCCGCCTTTTCTTTGTACTCCTTCTCTGCATCGGCGAAAAGTTTTCTGATATTCTCCTCCGATTGACCAACAAACTTGTTTAGGATTTCAGGACCATTCACAACCTTTGGTTCCCTCGCATTCAACATTTTTCCAATCTGCCTGGCAATAAGTGTCTTCCCCGTTCCGGGTGGCCCATACAAGATTATTCCCTTAACGTGCTGGATACCAAGCTTGTCTACTAGGCCTGGAGGAAAGATCCTAGACGCGAATGCACGACGGAAAATTTGTGAGAACTCTGTATCAAGACCACCAATTCCCATGTCCTCAAACTTGAAGTTAGGTTGGATAATAGCATTGGCAGAAGGGCGCTTGTTAGAGCCTTTGATCTTAATCGGAGACTTTGCATCTTTATAGAAGGTTATAAAAGTATGCGGTGTGAGAATACCGCGATCCGATGGGTTGCTACTTGTGGGCGCATCTGGGGGCAGAGCTCCCTTTTTATCGCCTAGGCTAATGACTTGCACAGTTTTGACGACTACTATAAGCTTGATATTGCGGACGTCCATAACGAGACGCTGGCCTGGAGCAAAAACTTGGTTTTGGAAGGTCTAAAGTCCATTTGCTTAATAGTGATCTCTTGATAATGATGGATACTCCATACCCGTAAAAACTGCTTCGTCAAATCATCTTGATCATATTGCTCATCACTGATCTTCCTTGATGCAAAGCCTAGCTCCAGATCCAAGCTCCCTAAATATGCAGCACCTTGCTGAGAAAACGGATCATAAGGCGCCATACGGATCTTTTCCGTCAAGCTCCATTGTGCCCAGTCTCTATGTACAGAGGAGAACCCTGCGTAGCCTGGTGCAATCTGGTTGTTGGGTTTTACAGAAACCACAAATTTCTCGTTGCAGATAACGTATTGCTCAGCGTGGAAGTCCTGGGGCGAAACAGCGACACTATTACCGCAGCTATTAGCTCCAGCTCTTTGTTGCGCGGTACGGATGGGGATGTTAACAAATTAGTAACGATAAATTCATCGTTCGGGCTTTTAGTGAGCTGAAACTCTCTGGGTGGTGCTGCCCCTCGATGCGGAACTGGGACTCTTTGTGGTGGACCTCCAGGCCCAGGTCTAGCTGGATAGTTTGGGTTATACGACATGATAGCTATGTGAAGAGTTAGCCACCAGATGAAACTTGAGATAAGGGAGGTATCTACCAAGAAATCTAGAGAAAGAGATACAGTGGCTACAAGAGAGAGAGATTGAACGAAGTAAGTATGTAGGTATATGAACTAGCTGCAGAAGTGTATTGGGGTTATGGATACGTAAGTTACAGGGCCACATGGATTAGAGGTCGTGCCAAGAACGAAGGATCAGATAAGATCATGGTGGGGTTTATCAGATCATAACAGCAACATGAGCTCTTAGAACTCCTATCCCAACCATTTTAATACACCGTACACATACTTACAAATATATGAAAATTCTTGTATATTATGCCTAGACTCAAGGCTTATGGTTGTTTCAATCGATAACTTTAATTACATATAACCGAACGGATTGAGGGCTAGGGTTGGCCGGGAATTTTTTAAATCGCTGGAAAATAACTTCACCTCACATAAGTCACATATGTAAGTAGAATAGATACTTTCTATTTGAGTTTACTTGGATGATTATGTTGCTCGGTACTTAGGGGTTCTTAATTTGTCCCTTACTGAGAAGCTTTGTTAATTACACATTTGGAATACCATATTGCAAAAAAAAGAGAATCAATTGCTTTTATGTCGGTATCTCTCATAAAGTCAATTAATGGCGCTCACGCTATCAAGAAAAAATATAATATTAGCAATTATAATATGTGTAAGTACTATAAAGATATCCGATGACTTACCATTCTAGGCTTTGATCTGACAATACTATCGACTCTAAGCAACATCTCTGTAGCCTCTGATGCAGAGGAGACAACAGCACGTTTAAGTTTGTAACTCTCAATCTGTTACGTGTAATTCACATTAGCTAAGAATAATAATAACGACAACGCCCATGCTTAACATACCACACCAAGTTCTCTCATATCTCCGATTCTTCCACCTGGGTAGTACAGATCTAGTCCGGAGCTGGACATTCCGTTGTTGATAGCGGCACGCAACTTCGCAACCAATTCACTGCTGTCAAAACCCGCGTTGTCGGCCAAAATTGTTGGGAGTTGCCTCAGTGCCCTGCCATATGCTTCGATGGCAAGGGCCTTTTTTCCTGGGGTATTCTGCGCAGCCTGCTCAACCGCTTTGCTCATGATCATCTCCGAGCAACCTCCGCCGAGAACAGTTCTGGTCTCTACAACAGTCTGAGATAGAACGGAAAGAGCATCGTGGAGAGACCTCTCAGCCTCATCTAACAGCTGCTCGGTAGCTCCCCTAAGAACAATTGTGCATGCCTCGCCAGCTGCGACACCCGAAAACTTGATCAAAGTATCTTCTCCGATGATGACCTCTTCGATAAGATCACATTGGCCAAGCTTGACAGACTCAGGATGATCGAAAGTGGAGGTAATTTCACCCCCAGTAACCAGAGCAAGGCGCTCAATGCCGTCAAAGTCAGCATGCTCAATAGAGATGATTCCAGCATCCGCAAACAATTGTTCAGGCCAGTTATAGATCAGCTGACGGTTGACAAAGCAGTTAATACCATGAGCCTTGATCTTCTCAACCTTGGCACGCATCTTTTCACGTTCAGCCTTTTCAAGCTCGGCGAGTTTACCGGTAGAATCAACTTTGACACGAGCACCAAATATCTTGATTTTATCGGTATCCATAGCTACGAGCTGTTAGGCATGTAACAACAGCTATGAAAGGTAATGTTTCGAAGACTTACCCGTATTAGCCACAAGGATCTTGGCTTTCTCAAGTCTCTTTGGCTGGTTGACACCAATTCTTTTATCCAAAATAAAACCCTCATCCAAATACGAATCACTAAGCTTTCCTCCTGCTTTCTTGATGATCTGAATGTTGTTCAAATTGGTACTTCCCTTCAACCTAAGAACTGCGTCCACTGCAAGCTTAGAAAAGTGCTCCTTGTCCTGGGACAGGACCTTGGAGCTCAGCGTTGTCCTAGAGATACTCAGAAGATCTTGCTTGAACTTCTCCGAATCCTCCCTGTGATCAACTGCACTGTTCCTCAATGCCTCAAGAGCAGCTGCAGACGCGACCCTGTATCCGTCAATGATGGTCTGAGGGTGAATCTTCTGATCGACAAGTTTCTCTGCTTCGCGAAGGAGCTCTGCGGCAAGGACAGTTACAGATGTGGTTCCATCACCAACTTCGTCGTCTTGGACCTTTGAGATGTTGACAAGAACCTTCGCAGCAGCATTGTCGAGCGCTATCGACTTCAGGATGGTGGCACCGTCGTTAGTCACCATTATCTGTCCTGTCGAGCTATTTCCATCATTTGATTGTCAGATGTGTTCTCCATTTGATGGAAAGCTTCATTGCATCAAATGTTGATAGGATGTGTTTATACGCACGCTGACTGTAATATCTTGTCCATCCCCTTCGGGCCCAAAGTCGTCTTAACCAAATCCCCTACAGCTATCGCACCAACAAATGCGGACAATCCTATCATATACCCATCAGTATCCCCCTACTATCTATCACACTCTGTATCTTCAATCGATTACGAGACTCGGAGGTGGGGGTCAACGTACTAGCATTTTCTCCCCTCTCCTCCGTAACGTCCTCTCCAAAGATTTGTGTAGGATTACTCTACGAGATATCAAGTTAGCTTTGATAGAATGATTTTTGGATGTGGTGAATGATTTACCATTGTTGGTTTGTTTTTTTGGCTATGTATGGCGGGGTACCGAAATAATTTGGTGAGACGGAAACTTGAAGGAGGGACAGCACCCGAGCACGTGATCTGAATATAAGAGTCAGGTTACCCTACTTTTGACTTGGTGTCAATGATATTATTGCGCTTGTTGAGAACACACATATAGAGCGCCAAAAAGCGCGACTAAAGAAAAGCAATAGGCAAAGAAGCTTGTAAGTGCGTTTTCGGACCTAAATTTCATCCTTCCGACGACTTTCCTAAGCATAAAAATAGGAATACAGTCTAAAAATGTACACTGAGAGGAAAATCGTCAAGAAAAGCAACACTATGCACCCTTTCCTACTCGATATTAGATGGTGGGATACTTTTGAAAGTCCAAGTATACTCATGAGACTGCAAAAGCCATAGGTCATTGGTTTCCATAACTCAAAACAATAATTTGTTCTGTCTACAGTTTGAGAGGTGAATTACAGAAATCTTCGAGCATCGCTAGAGACAAAAAAGAAATAGTCCGCACCCTCCGACATATAGAGTTTCCCTTTAACGTGAACAGAACGACAACTCCTATTTCATAAAATAATTCCCTTGCCCTTGCCCTCCTGTGACCCTGGGACCATTTTTCTCCAGTACGCCCCTCAATCTATTCCCCATTTCCCTCCTAGCCTTCTTTTCCTCCCTTGCTACAGCAACATCAGTCGGATCCGTGAGTGTCAGTACGGGCGTTGGAACACTTCCAAATGATGGCCCAATACTGCTACCAAGTCCTCTTTCGGGTGTACTAAATCTCATCGATGGTGCTTCAGATCTTATGCCGATGTCGGGGGACATAAGTCTAGAACGACCACTAGGCGTCACAGAGATGCTTCTACTCTTCAGCTTGACCCTGTTAAGACGATCGGCAAGATATTCGATATCTCCATTTTTACGCTCAACCATGCCGGTGAGTTTCATAATAGTGTTACGAACCGCCTCAACAGTTGGGGGGACAACTGTGCCCGCATTGTTCTTGTCTCGGGAGGCTATCTTGGCTTTAAGCTGCGTGACTTCCTTTTCGGCGTCTTTGAGGAGTTTCTCAACACGGGTATACTCCTTGCGAAGCTTTATTTGCTGTAGGTGCTGCTCAGACGTCAGGGTTCTGGCGCGAGCCAGGGCGGCTGCTCGGGGATCGTTGTGAACTGCAAGCAAACGCTTGATTTCCGCGTCTTTGGTGTCCACTATCTTAAGGTTAGTAAAGAGTAAAGAGTCGTCTTGGTAAGATATGATAGGTAACGAACGCTTAATGAATCCCTTGTTTGCGGCTTCATACTGCGCTTCCAATTCTTCATTTCCTTTATTCTCTTTCTTCACACCATCCAATACCTCTTCCAATATTTTCCGAACTTTTTCAAGTTCACAGAACTTCCAGTCCTTGGACTGTTTCATGTCCTTTGCACTTTCATGCTTGCAATCGGCGATAGGTTGAGTCTGTGCCATGTGATATGCTGTCATACCTCTAACTGTTAAACCAAGCCTGTTGACCATCATGTTGCCATTGAGGTATATAGCGTCAAAGACTTCATTGAAATCCTATACAATAGATTAGCAAATCGGCTATTACCGGCGACGAACAAAAAAGCTTACATCTGAGAGCTGAATTTCTCCCATATTCTTAATCTTGGGCAAGTTTTCAAGCGGCTTAATCGTCCCTCTTTGAAGCTTCCTTCGAACCTTTTCATCGTCGAGCTCATTAAATTCCTTGTCTAGGTCCAAATCACTATCTGGTTCTTCGACCTTCTCAACCTCCTTCGGTGCCTGTTGGAATGATGGCGCTGAGAGCGGACTACTCCTAGTTTGCTGCTGGGCTGTAGGTGAGCCAAAGTTTGTTCCGCTGAACGGGGAAGGAGCAGATGCAGTTCTGGTAAATGGACTTGGCTGTTGTCTGCCTGCAGCAGGTGGCGTAGAACCTAGAGATTTAGGCGCCAGAGAAGGTTGGGGAAATGAGGATACTGGCGGGGACCCTGAAGGCGCTGCAAATCCTGCCTTGTTGGTAGCAGCAGAAAAGGCTGTGGGGGCAGGGGCAGGAATTGGTGAAGGCGTAGGGAAAGGCGGCGAGCTAGATGCAGGAGCTGGTGTGGTAACAGACTTGCCGATTTCTGCAGCTCCTACCTTCTTTGCCTTGTTGAACATCCCACTTCCACCCATTCCAGAGCCAGATCTGGATAATTTATCCTTCCCAGAAGGCGGAGTGATGCCGTGTCCTGGCGATTTGCCTTTTGGCGCTCCGAACAAAGAACTTGTTTTAGTTGGGGTTTTCCCATGTTCAATTTCTTTGCTAGGTGTTGGTTTACTGCCAAACAGACCAGCGAATGGAGCAGCCTTGTCGACAGTACCAATAGTATCTTTGAAGGATGTGTTGGACCCAAAAATGTTAGATGTGCTTGGACTTGTAGTTGAGGGTTTTGGTTTGGGGTCGTATTTGAATTCTTTGGGAGTCACGGGGCGCTCTTGCTGCTCCTTGAGCCATACGTCTTCTTCACCATCTTCGTCTTCATCTTCGTCCTCCTCGTCTTCCTCTTCGTCTTCCTCTCCCTCTCCCTCTTCTTCGTCTTCATCTTCTTCGCCTTCTCCATCGTCTTCATCATCTTGCTCATCATCCTCCTTGTCATCGTCAAAAATCTCCTCCTCGTGAGCATCGATTCCTTCATCCTCCGATTCATCTGCAGGCAAGCTTGGGATTTCCTCCTCTGCGGCCTTCTCCTTTAGACTATTTGTAAAATCGGGTGGCAACGGCGCATCTTCAGCGGCGCTTTCAAGACGGTCTCCCTTGTCAGCCTTCTTCTGAGAAGTGAAATCCGGTGGCAATGGCGCATCCTCCGCGTTAGAGTGTTGTTTAGCTTCTTTCTTGACTGATGTAAAATCGGGTGGTAAAGGAGCGTCCTCAGCATTGAGCTCCTGCTTAGTCTCTTTTTTCGAAGAGGTAAAATCTGGAGGTAGAGGAGCATCTGGCACAACATTCTCAGCTGTCTCTGATTTCACTTTGGACGAGGTGAAGTCTGGTGGTAACGGCGCAGCTTCAGGCTGACCAGTCACTGGCGGCGTCGACCTTTCTGTACTTGAGGGTTGTGGTTTCGGAGCAAAGGCACCAAAACCGGTACTTCCGAACGCTGGTTTCATGGGTTGAGCACCAGTAGTGAAAGGACTAGTGGTCTGCTTCACGCTGCCCCAGCTAGAAAAAGCTGGCGGTGTGCTACTGGGAGGTAATGGCGCAAACGCAGCCTTGCCATGAGCAAATGGCGAACCACTGGCAGCCGCACCAAACGGTGACGACTGTGGATCAGTCGTGGTAGGCTTTCCAAATGGTGACTGTGCAAATGGAGATTCTGATCCAGCCGGCTTATTAACTGATGCAAACGGGCTAGATTTTGACGCTTCGGCACTGGCTTTCGCAAAGATTCCACTTGGTAAACCACCAGATCTTGAGAAAGACGTTGAAGAGGTTGGTTGTGATGGACCGCCCTGAAGCCTAGTCGGAGGAGGGGCATCTTCATCATCATCACTTGCATTATTATCCTGTTCGGCATCGCTATCCATGTCCGCGTCTTTCGGTCCTTGATCGCTAAATCCTCTTGGTGTGGCCTGTGCAGTGCCCAAGGCATCCCTGAATCCTCCACCTAATCCAAAACTACTTCCAGCGTTTGAGGGAGTTGTCGTTTCATCTGCAGTTGACGAGTCAGGCTTGAACCCACTTGAGATCTTAAAACCACTGCCCGCGAGAGATCCAAAACCAGATGTATTCGAAGCCGTAAATGCAGACGGTGTAGGGTCTGTATTGAACCCCTTGCTTGAATTACCCCATATTGGTGTGGCATTTGCGGAAGGCGCGGCGGCAGCAAACCCAGCTTTGTCTGCGTATGCACCAAACCCGCTACTCAAACTTCCTAACGCCCCTGTACTCCCAAGTGGCGCCGTTTGACCAAACCCCGGTGTTGAGTTCTTTCCTAGCCCAAGAGAAGTTGGTGCTCCGAATGCTGGGGTGGGTGTGGCAGGGCCTACTGACGCTGCATTTGCAAATGGAGATGGTGAACCTCCGAGGGCGGATGGTTGGCCAAAAGCACTCCCGGAGGTGGTACCTGAAGCCGCTGCCTTAGCAAATGGAGAAGCCCCCCCTAGTACTGAGGGTTGGCCAAAAGCAGTTCCTGAAGTCTGTCCTAGGGCTGAGGTTTGACCGAAAGCGCTCCCAGACGTGGTCGAGCCCATAGCTGCTGCCTTTGCAAATGGCGACGATGCACCTAGCGCCGATGGCTGACCGAAGGCACTCCCTGAAGTCTGAGCTGAGGCAGCGCCCGCAAAAGGTGAACTCATACTTGGCGTTCCAAAACTAGGGGCACCAAAAGCAGATCTGGCCGTACCAAACGCGCTAGGTCCGGATTTAGAGGCAAATGCTCCAAATGAGGAGCTGGTGCCTGCAGTCGGCGCAGCAGCTGCAAATGACGTCCTGGGAGGGGTCCCTGGCCGTGGAGGCTGTTGCTGTTGCTGTTGCTGGTCTTGTGGTGAATAGACCATCATTCCGGTGTACTTTTCACGCTGTTCCATAGCATCGTTATAGATTACGTGCCATGCGCATAATAAACCCTCATGATTTAGAACCATCAGGATAGGTAATGGCCCCGGGGATTCCTCAATTTCTTCTCCGCCAACAGGGCGTTTGACACTTTCTTTGTTACTAAGATCAAGCGCCATGCCCATAACAGAGGTATCTTGGAAATCGGTCCCAGACAAAGGCAGCTGCGCACGGCGGGTATCGTCACCAATCGACGAAGTTATCCAAGCATCTGCAGGTGCAGGAGGTTCGCCAGCTACTGCCGTGGAGAAGCGGCTGATAAGGCCAATGTCTGACGAGCAAGTATTTGAGAATATGATCATATCCTTCAAGGCCGGGGCGTACTGTTTGATGAGGGCGTGAAAGAAATAAGGTGGTGTTCGACTGTCCAAGCCATATGGGGGAACGGGGTCTGGGAGCCTGGTATATGTAAATGAAGAGCCGGTCCGAACCAATACATGAAAAAGAGAGTCATTGTTCTGTGGTTCGGCTGGGACTGGCGTGTGAGTTGTGATAAAAAGATTGTTTTCCAACCAGACAATCGATGAGACGAAATGGTTTTCCAAGCCAGGAACTGACGGTAAAACGGCCTTTCCTTCTCCTTGGGGTGTCATCTGCCAGCCGGTTCCATCTCCCATTCCGCAGACAATTTGTTTTCCACGTTGACTCCAGGAGACAGTTGATGCACCTGTCTTCAATACTGGGCCATTCGACCCTTCCTCCCATCCTCCTGTGCTTATGTTTACCATTTGGACATCCCCGTTGGTGGTGACAACTGCCACCAATTCGGGCGTTGCTGGATTAGGCTTCATTTCTCTCAGCCCAACACCGCCCGTTCCCAGCTCAAATAGAGGTTGCGCATTACTGCTATTAAGTGCGCTGACGGAATAAACCACAAGTCCTCCCGAAGCAGAGCCAACTACAAGATGAGACTCATCTGCCGTGAATGCGATGTGCGAAATATTTGCGGGCAACGAAAGGGAAAGTTGAGGACGATACTCTGCAACGCCGTCAGATGCGCCAGCGAAAGTTTCACGAAGAGATGAAGTGCTGCCAACGACCAAATCTATACAATAAGTTAGTAGATATGCTTATCACCTGATGTCTAGTTAGTGAAGTTTCCGATGCTGCGACATACCTGAATGTGCTGCAGCGGCAAACAGCCCGCTCCTATTTGCGACAGAAAATAACGATACGCTCGACGGTGGTAATGAGTCCTTGTCGTATCCCTTTGGTAGAATTTTGACCTTGGTGTCGCCGCCTAAAGCCAGAAACCCGACATTCTAGCGCAAATGGTGTTCTGTCAGTAATCTGCAAGTTGCTGGACCGGGCTAGAGTTTCTTCTGGCTTACCTCAATAACAACCTCCAGTGGCTCCTCGCCCTCAGCGCCCACGAGTTGCACCTGGGGTGGTGATCCAGCCGCCGCCGCCGGCGATGGGGATTGGGTGTCCGCCAGAACACCGAAAGGGTTTGAATCCTGGAACGCCATGATTATCTCACCTTTGTGCCCTTAATCGAGCAAAAGTGGACGCGTGAAGTGGGTAGAAAGATATGCAGACTCCAGGTATAGCCAAAGAAGAAAAAAATATGAGTGCAGGGCTAATTATCGAGGTATGGGTTGTGTATGACGAAGGTGTTGTGGGTTTTCGAAGTTTGAGCTTCAGGTGAGGCTCGTGCCCACCAGCGATTTGGGGCACCTGCAGTCATGTGGCGCAAACGCGTCACCTAGCCATAACGCGTTTGAGACGCGCGCATATGGGTTGGGACCTCACTTCAAACACAGGACCTCAATCTATCATGCTAGCATGAAATTGCCCATACCTAGTTTATATTGAACGCACAGGTGGAACCGAAGTACTGTGCCCATCTTCATCACCAAAACCCAACGCTTGGATTTCTGCACTACATATACTTTACCTAGCTACTTCTGGACGATCTACAGCAGACAAAAGGTCGCAACATGAAGAAACGAACGATACAGTCGTTCGCAGGGTGAGGACGAACACTAGGTGTAGACGAACAGGGATTTTTGGACAAATAGGAATAAACGGCAGAATATCATCTTGATTGTCAATTGGGTTAAATATGTACATGTAGTCATGTATCGGCCCAGTGATGAAGGACCGAGGGATAGTATAGAGTCAGGGCCAGTACCCCCCTCTGTAAATACTTGCTTCACAATAACTGCAGTTTAATGAAGCTAGGTTGTAGTTCAATTAAACATACATGTGGACTCGACAAATTTACTCCCGTGTTCTTGTAATTGTTGGTAATCAATATTTTGTCAACTTCAATCATAAATAATCACTCGAGGGCCTGAAAACCGTCGATCCTCTTGATTCATGTCAGCAATTCGCCTAATCCACGGATAATGAATCCTTGATATCGGGTGAAGGATTAAGGTAATCAACTCAAGCAGAATCGACCGTTGTACCTACTTTACAGACAGTGGTTAGCCAAAGGGGAAGAAAAAAAATCCGTAACGTAGTTACTTATTTTTTTAACGACCACACAAACAGACCTCCTTCCAGCTTCTTGGTTCGCTTAAGAACTTTCAGCCCAACATTCTGTGAGTTTTTCTAACGAGAAAAACGACGGAATGCCCGGTAGAAAGTCTTTTCTAGTGTAGAATAATTCGCGGTTTACGATACTCGGGGCGCCTTCCAATGTAAGGGATTTTGTTTGCTGTTTTAGTGATTGTTTGGGATAAACGTATGTATATATACCCACAAGTGACCTCAAAATTCTCTGGCGAAAAAACTAGATAATGTAGTCGCCCTCATAGATTTGCTCTCATAGATTCGGGTGTCAAGTCATTTCCTGTCGCATCCTGACATGACACTTCAGCGCCCAAACCTATATTAGCTTCACCAAGATTGTGATAGAGATTGTAGTGATTCCGAAAGGTTCTGCGAGACTTGCTCTACCGATATATATATATATATATACCATGTTGGTGATAAATAGACGTAGTATTTCTTTTCAACAGATTACCAGTAAGAGGAGCGGAAAACAAAACGATTGATTATGGGGATATATATTAGTGTACTAGACCAACTCATGCTCAGCTAGGTAACGTCTTCCACATGCATATGAACCACGGTACCGTGCCTCTCCGCGAATGTAGCCAGAAAGCACTAGAGTTCGTTCCGCTAGTACGCTATGGGCAATCGATCGCAGAGCAAAGACCGTGGGTGAAACAGCCATGAGTTGAAAGAATTCCCTTGAATGGTGGTACCGGTGCCACTAGTACGTTGGGTTAGCTTGATGGTGGTAATCAGACCTAGGATTGACAGCGAAGAATTAGGCCCCCAAATTCCAATCTTTGATGTGGGCGGTTTGACCACTAAGGAGAGCGACACATATATGGACTAGCCCCCAGTCCACGAATTCGGGGCCTAGTCTTGAATCAAGGTTCAAACTCACAGTCTATATATCTTACGAAAGCAAGGTAAATTGCTCCGTGATGAAGCTAGCTGCCGCTCAGCAGTGATATACATGTGGTTCTTAGGATCTTATAATAACAAAAGGAAAGAATTCATTGCCATCAAATCTGGATCTGACCCCACAAGATCTACTCTATAATTCACGTTTCACAATAATAATATATCGATAGAGCGGAAGTGCAGGAATACATCACCGAAAATTGGGATCAAATTACTATCCCACTAAGACACTAGTTATCAGCACTGCAGCCGTTGTTACTGTTTTCTCTAGTGTAGAGAAGACATAAACCGTGAAATTTCGAGGTACATCAAATACCCTCTCAATAATCGTCGATATTCCTAATTCTCGCCTATAATTAGGAAGGATTAAATTAAAGGCAAATTTCGAATATCCGAGTGATCGCCCATGACTATCGATATATCCATTCTCTCAAAACTCAAGGCCAGAGAAAAGACATATATAGCCAATACTCCCTGTGAAACGGCCCACAGAAAGATATAGTCAACGTATTTCCTGTTTCTCTGTTACCATGCCCATTCTGTATATTATATATGCGAGTGATAGTTTGTGATCTCGTATACGCTACATTCTTAAGTGTGCAAGCGCAAGTAGTGAAATGTTCAGAAATACCATAAATCGGTATGTAGCTACATGTATTCCCTGTGACAAGAGGCCTACACGCTGAGTCCTGTAATCGGACCTGAGTACGTTTTCCCCGTGCCGATGGCTGATCATGATTCATGATGAACTAGTGATAATATCTTCGTAGAGAATTACCATGTATAATCCTAATATATGGCATGACCAAAGGATTAAATAAACCTGTAAGCATATATATGTAATTACCTCAGCTACCTAACTGAATATCATAATTAATTAAAGGAATACTAATTAAATATGATTGCAAGGCTAACTCGCGTGTACGGAAGAGCCGGCGCTACTATTATAATTAGGGCCCTTGGAATCCAGAATCCGGAATCCGGAAATAAAACTTCGCCATTCCTAAATGGATTTACAACTCCTCACGTATAAGACCAATTGGCGGTGACAGAATCTAACGGTGACATGACATGAGTGGCAACCCACGGGCGGGCCCTCTTGATCATCAAAGCATTTGCAGGGGATGGACCGAGTGATTGAGTATGATGCCCCGATGATGACACATGTAGCCACCCACACATCCAAGACCAATCAAAAGAATTTTCCTCCAAACCCCGGTATTAAAAGCGGGGTTTTGCCTTCTACCCACTCGGCCTTCTACCCACTCGCATAATTTCAACCAAGCCTTTCATTACTGTGATCGTGAGTAAACCAGCTCCGTCATTCTGGGAGACACGCTAACCGTTAATCAACAATGGCAGATCGAGGTGCTAGTATATAGGAGCTCTGTTAATAGTCCTATACAGCTATCATGATCAGGGGCATGCATGAGCAGCTGATTCATGTACCTACTATATGGCCTATACCGGGGTTGTGTGGTGATAGAAAACGTTGTGCATGTGTTCTGAGTCACGTCACGAATACTTTGAAATTTAGAATAATGACTAATATATGCATGTACATGTATGTGTACTGTCTTATAGGCTTATGGGAATCGGTTTATACACATATTCATATTAGGATGAATTGGTTGTGTCATTCATAGAGGACTGATAATGAAATAATGAACAACTAATATAATATATACACAAACAAGAGACAATCAGATAGATATATAATTGTATAAATGAGGGGGATAAATCGATCAAAAGGCACATGTACATGTACATGTAGTCGGGGGAGGAATAACAGATGGAAGAGAATTAATTAATTTGGGAACATCGTCCAGCATTTTTTGGCATTAGTACCACTTTAATTAGCTAGTTCTATAGTTATTGAGGCCGGGTTTATGAAAAGAAATATTTGATTTGCAGTACTATAAAGGGTTAAAATTTACCTTATCTTTCACATGCCCCTAAAATAGGGGTCGCTTTAGCTCAGTTTTCATATATCCCTCTTCAGGACTTGAGCTGCTAGGCCGCGCGCTTATGCTCTCTAATTATACAAGTTCATGTACTAGACTGTTAAAACTGACTGTGGAATCGAATATTTCCAGGGCTAGCTATATAGGACGACGACACTACATGTAGGTACATGTATACTTACTGTATGTATTTACATATTAAATGGCATGGCCATATGTATAGTTAGATTTTGTGTCTCGATATTAATACATGTATTCATATCACGGCGGGAGGTACTACGTAGCTATTCGTGATAGGTCTTATCTTTAACTACATGTAGTAAACCGGTTGACGTATGTATATAATTAGAGACATGCATATAACCCATGAACTTCGGAACCTTTATTGATATTCAGGCACCTGTAACTCCACCCATAATACAGAAGAAGTACTTAATTACGTTTCCAGAGTGGACTGGGCCCGCATATGGGCAAAAATCTTGCATAATAACCAGGCCTTGATATTACATATTCAGACTTATTAGTCCAGTCCAGTCATTGGCATGGCAGGGTACCATGCATATCACTACCTTTCCCATGGTAGTTCAACCAACCAACCAACCTCGAATCTAGCCCATGATTTGGTTCTTCGGGATCATACATGAGTATTGACATATGCTATTGTTCATAATAGGCCTCGGCTTGGAGTGGAAACTTTCTCATCTTTCGGATTGTGGGTCACGAAGATTCTTATGAAGTAGCTACATGTATATTTACATCCAGAGAAAGATCCAGAGAAAAATCTACTACATGCATCAGAGGGCCACCATCTGGGCGAAATACAACGGAAAATTACTAATACATAACGTTGTCTATTGATGATATATTATAGTACAAGTGACCCTTAATTAGTAGCTTTGAATGGGCATACCAGTGGGTCGCCAGATAAGGTTACTCCGGAGTTTGTATTACCTGGAATCCAGGGTGGGTAGGTCCGGAGAGCGTGTTTGAGGTGATGTGCCGAGAATACCACAGTACAAGCAGGCAACAGAGGGATACAAATCTCATAATGATTCATATGTATATAGAAGCCATATTGAAACTCAAATCCCAGCAAAGTGATTCAATACAAAGCTAGAACATGCCATATGCAATTGAAGCTAGTTTTCTGATCATATGGCCCTCACCCTGCAGGCATGTTGAGTAGAGGAATAGTTAGTAGATTTCATCAATCCTCCTCCAAGACTGTATCGTCATCCCCCCCTTCCCCCACTCTACCTTCACTACATGTAGTCTCACTTCCGCTGTCCATGTCCTCGCCCCGGTTCTGTCCAAGATCTAGGTCCAAGCAATTGGAGAGTCCATCCGCACTCCCTTGACTTCCGCTTTCACTCCCATAATCATGCTCCTTATCTCCCTCTTTTTCGTTTCCATCCATTTCACTTTCTTCATCAGCGAGGTCCTCGGACAGCTTCGACATTCTTGTAACAAACTCATCCTGAACTTTAGTCAGCCAGGATTGCAACGTCTTATCATCCATGTTTCCATCCCTGGCTTGAATTAAAGTCTCTTTTAGCTTGAGCACAAGGTTTCTTCTTCTGGAAAGATGAAATGACTTGGATTTTCGTTTCTGTTTGTCAAGCCTCCGAGAAAGAGTCTCAGACACCAACGTGGCCTTATCTAGCACATCCTGCGGAAGTCCAACAATTCTGGCTAGAGCTAAACCTGTTTATTTTATACGCTATAAGTAAGGCCCAACCAAAAATATATCGTATTTTTCTGGGTGTTGATCTTGTGATTCACCGTAATATTGGTCCTTTACACTTCCATCTGCAACTTTATAGAGCATTGTCATAGTGTTTGGGTCATTCATCTAAGTTTCATGTTCATATTAGTCATATGGTCGTAACTACTTGGAACAGCCCTAGTGATATTAGTTCAATGCACAGCCCGTGAAAATTCACCTCCACCTGCAAGTGTAGATTAACTACCCCAGCCCTTTCGGCAAGTATGCTCGCCAAATCTCTGAAGTGTGTTGCAAACCACACAAAGGCTCTACTTTCAATCAGTGCCTCGCAGACCGCCAACGCTAGAGCCAACCCATCTCTGGTACTGGTGCCTCGTCCAAGCTCGTCCATGATTATCAGGCTGCCTTTGCCGAGATTGTGGAGGATAAAGGCCGTTTCCCGCATTTCAGACGCAAATGTGGAGGCATTAGCTTCAATTCCGTCGTCCATAGAGACACGAGCGAAGAGTTGTTGTGTGATAGGAAACGAGGCATACTGAGCCGGGACGCTAATTCAAAGGCAGTATTCTAGTAGGTTTGTTCAGGGCTGAAGAGGGCAGGGCACTTACTATGATCCGATTTGCGCAATTACAGCCGTGAGTGCGATCGACCGCAGATAGGTCGACTAGGGTGATAATAAATACTCAACAACCCACCAATATCAATTCGTATTAAAGACAACTACACACCTTCCCCGACATGTTGCAACCTATTTGGTCGAGAACGCCGTTAGATACGTTAGATACCCGAACCGCTAGTTATCCTGTGTAACAATCGTTTGGTCCAATAAAACGGTACCTACCAGTAATTATCTGAAATCTGTCAAACGAATTTTCATTAGCCACCCCCCCACACACCCAAAAAGCAAAGAAGTTGTAAATTGACTGAGTCCCAGTTTCTCGCGCTATTTTCTATATCACAGAGAATCTACCCCAAAAGGGCTTGGGATTGCGGGGTTTTCCCAGAGTTCGGCCTACCTAGATTGTTGGCTTGCATAAACGTCGTTTGGGACGAACTTGTCCTTGTGAACTTTCTCACGAATTGGATGACGTCCGGCCTTGATTGCAAGTGTATCTGTGAACTCGGGACGAACTGCAGCACCGTTAGTAAGATGCCCCCCACGTTTTATGGATGTAATTTAATTCTTATTTGAACTGCCGACAGCCAGCCAGTCCAGGAGATGAGCCAAACCATAATCCTGAATTGTACAGAGATATGCAAAAGAGACAAGCTATGAACATATGATCTTCAGTCGTTATCCAAATTTACCAGGTAATGGTGCGCATATGGGGGTTTGGCGAACCATATCAAGCATCGCAATACCCTCGCACACTTTGTATAGCGCAGATATCTCTTTCCTAATATCTTCGACTAATTGCTGCACAGATTTATCGCCTTAAGACTGTATGTCAGTCATGTATGCCTGGTTATATCAAGAGGCCGGTGTTTCTGGGTTGTTTACTCATAAGTAAAACCTCCGTTAAAGAATCTCCGATCTGTTCCTCGGCGTTAATTAATGCGGATCTGTAAGTATGCAAGTTCAAAAGAATATCGATATTCCCTCATAATGTAGTCAAAGAGACTATTGGTTTTGGGGGAGTCAATATCACCTTGGCATTTCGTTTGACTAGTTCCAAAGTGGTGAACTCGACAACAACTTTTTTCCGTACCACAACGTTCACAAAAATAGGTGGCAAGGATTTATCCTCCAGATCCAACGTTGAGAGTCGGAGGTAGTATCCCCTTCCAACCTCGAACTTCAGTTCCAGGGGAAGATCATGCTCCACAGCCAGACCTGCAATTAATGAATGGATGTCTTCTGTTGCTTCCTTGTAGGTCTGACGTGCAACATCAAGTAGGCCATTCACGCCACTCTGCAGCAGGACGTGTCAATACACATTGAAATAACCGAGCCCGATAGGAAATCGGAACTACCAACCTTTACGGCATAGCATCTTTGATTACGGAGGTCAAGTGGGCTTTTTGAAAACGAAATGTCTTCATTTATAACATTACTGATCAGACTCATGACTGGCTCGATACGCTCTTCTCCGCAAAGCTATAACTGTCTTGTCAATTACAGCCTAAACTTACAGATATTTGAGTGGGTGCGGGCGAATGAGAGGATGCCTACATCTCTGATAGCCATCAACAGCTCACTTCTCCCGGAGGCAAGACTCTCACGGACTGGGGCAATGCAAAACAATACTTGTTTAAGCACTATGATATTATTAATCGATTGTTCTGAGTGTTTTAGTGAAGGCTTGACCGGTATTGTAATGAGCTTAGATCGTCAGCTCAATTTTTATTCAGTCAGAATCCATATCATACTGAAGTAAGGAGCCTATCCATATCCAGAAATGGCTTCAAGGCCTGTCTTGCTTGGAAAAACATATCTTCATGCTGTGTAAACTCTTCCAACGCATCCAACCTTGCATTAAGTGTGGATACGTCAGTGAGTGGCTGTAACACGTTGGATCGAAGCAGACGTGCTCCCATAGGAGTCAATGTGTTGTTCAGTAGTCCAAATAAACATTCCGTGGATTTGGCGTTCTGGAGATTCTGGATCAATTCTAGACTGTGGACAGTACTGAAATCAATAAGCATAGAACCTGCGTGGAAAACCGACTTAGTCGATCTCCTTTAGATTAAGCATGATGTCACAAGCGGCAGCAAACCGACCTTCACTCCCCTGATACTTGATCCTGAGGGAATTGAGGGCGAATCTTGTGTACGAAAGCTCGATATGCTTCAATGCTGCGGCAGCAGCGGAGATTGCGTAAAACTTTGCAGACACAGCAACTTTGATACCAGCTATGTCGTCCGCGAACGCTAGCTGCTGGATATAGTCATGCCCCATCTGCTCATTGTAGTATTTACGAGGTACTTGCGTGATAGTCGCGCCGGGAATATAGTGCTCCATTATGGAAAGCAGGGTAGATTTGCGTGGTATGACAGCAGTGTTTGGGACTAGTATCTGCATATCAAACTATTGAGAACTCGCCGATCAAACAGAGGATTCTTCCATCATGTGTCAACCAACCTCTGTAGGATTAAAGACAGACAGCTTGTGCATGGTCCTAACGTAGGTCTGTGAGTCACATATCTCACTTAAAACACATTCACCTACAATTACGGTGTCAGCCACTGTTTCTGATGCACAATTTACAGCTCGGTATCAACACGAATAGAAAATACCGGTCGTCATGTTCACGAAGCAAAGACCCACAGTGGCCGAGACCCCACGAGACTCTGACACGGCACACACAATCTGCTGGACACCCCCAACCGTTGAGGTAGCAGTCCGTGGTCGGCCTGTTCGTGGACGACCGGTTGAGGTCGAAGGGCGGGAAGGCCCTGAGGATGTGGATTGGAGATAGAAGCTCATGATTGCAAATTTTTTATGCAAGTGTACAGATATGTATCATAGCGTGTGGGAGATCACATTTAGGGAGTGGGGCGGCCACGTTAAAAGCGGCAAACCATTCGGGGTCGGTCCTTCCGTCATCCTGCAGGAAAACAAGCTTTGCAGATCACTGGTCTAAGATCGGCTCGGGGGGGCCGAGAGCTTCGGTCCTGTTTTATCTAATCTAATCTTATCAAAAGGATCTAGCAGATCTTTACGACACTCATCAGGCGTAGCCGGCCAGTCAAGCTTCAATTCTTACATTGTCATCTCTCGCCATCGAGCGAAACGCCCCATCGCCAGCTTAACGTCAACAACAACGTCGCAATGTCAGAACGTAAGGTGCTTCAGAAATAGTAAGTCGCTTCTCACGTGTTCGGGAGCTTCTACCAGCAGCTGTTAACTCGTTTCCCCTTAGCTACCCCCCGGATTTCGATCCTTCGAAGATCGTCCGAAACAAGAACCCGAAGCCTACAGGTCCTAAGCAGCAAACGGTACGTCTCATGGCACCGTTTAGCATGAAATGCCGAAGCTGTGGTGAGTTTATCTACAAGGGACGCAAGTTCAATGCTCGTAAAGAGCACTCAGGCGAAAGTAAGTACCTCGTCACCTCCTATCCCATAAATGTTCATAAGCTAACCAAAAAACTCTAGAATACTACAATATCAGTATATTCCGGTTCTATATCAGGTGTACACGATGCTCTGCGGAAATCACATTCAAGACCGACCCGAAGAACATGGATTATACCTGCGAAAAGGGCGCTGAGCGAAATTTCGAGCCCTGGCGCAACCACGATGAGAAGGAAGAGACTGAGGAGGAACGGTTAAACAGACTGGAAGAAGAAGAGAATGAGAGTGCCATGGCCAAGCTAGAGACAAAGACTTTGGACTCCAAACGCGAGATGCAGATCGCCGACGCGCTGGACGAGATCAGAACACGCAACGCACGGAACGAGAGAGTAGATGGGGTTGACGTGTTGGAAAACTTGCTTGAAGTAAAGGATGCGGAGCAACTAGAGAGGGAAAGGCAGGATCAGGAAGATGAGGAGGCTGCCAAGAGGGCATTCAGAACCGATGAAGATAAGTTTGTCAGGAGGGTGATTGAGGGGGCCGAGGAGCCCCCAGTCCAAGCAGGGCCATCTACTACCGCAACCGAAGAAAAAGTGGAGATCCCAACCTTCAAAAAGACGGTTAAGAGAAAGCGGGACTTGGGTGCTGCCCTGGGCATCAAAAAGAAAGCGAAAACACTTGTATAGGGAGTGGCTCATGACATATAAGCCTGGTTCAAGTTTTATATGTGGCGTATGCAGGTCGTGGTTGCATTTGGGTTAATCGGGTCTTTGCTGTTTTATGTTGGGGATACCTCTGGTGACGCACCCCGGTAACTCAACCAATTTGCTCTTCTTCCTTTCTTTTCCTTTCTTTTACTTTTCTTTCCCTTCCTTTTACATAATTAACTACTATCAATCTGATATATGACACCAAGCGCCTGTAGAGTATGTATATTTTGAATGTCCCGAGTACCTAGAGTACACAAGAGATACATGTATGTGAGCTCGGCTTACCATCTGCAGTGATTGTTGCATACCGGCATCTGCCGGTCACGACTATCGCGGCCCGCTGGTACCCTTGCAACTCTACTGTCTCAACACCACATGCCTTTTCGGTCAATAGAACGGGTAGTCCGCACGAGATGTTTAGCACGTACTGTACTCATGTAACGGTTACCGGTCCCGCAGCCGCTCGGAATACTGCCATTCCATATCTGTCGGCCCGCATATGACATCAACCTTTCCAAGTAAAGAAACCACATCATGTAGGTAGCTGTACCATGTACCCCGGTAGGATACATCTTACGGATCTTCCAACATCAACGACCTTTCAGATTTCGGTTACTTTGGGGTCCACAAATGTGATTGGTCTCTTTGAACCACATCATAATGGCATCGTGGCCTTAAGGATCCATCTACCCACTTTACATGTACCCACTCTACCTAGATGTAGTGCCTTTAAGGCAGAACAACGGCGACGACAATAACAACAACACTCGAAACCCTGATAGTCTCAGTACCTACATCGCTATGTAGGTGCTTAACTCACTCCATAATCCAGATTAATGTCACATGGTAGAATACATATTTGAACTGCCCAGGATAACATCCAAGTCTTAGATTTAAAAAAGATAGCCCTGAGGCCTGGATGCAAACGTTCACCTATCGAAACACGAATAGTGGCGATGGAAACCCATAATATAAGACGGGGAGGACATAAATATAATGGAATAAAACCGAAAACAATCATTTCAGAGGTATCGTAACGGTATCAATCGTAAATGTCCAAGAGAAAGAAAAAAATGAGCAAAAATAAACCATGCACCGTCCAGTTATATAAGACACCCGCAATTAAACATACTCCAACAGATATATGTCCCCAAAAACCCCGAAACCTTTTCCCACTTTTGAATCCCACGAGAAGTTGTTTGCTTAGACCTCTGGGCCATCGCCCTTATCGCGACGTATCGGAATTTTAATACCTGAGGCAAAATCATTAGAATGTTAACCACGAATGAATGCTAACTGAAATCAAAGCTTACCTTGGGTCGCAAAGCACTTGCTAAGGTTTGTGCTCTCAATGACACCTGGGAACTTTTTGGCGCTAAAGACGTGGAAAACCTCGGAGAAAGCACTCGCAAGGACTGGGGCCGATCCAGTGTTCAGGCCCGCGCCATCTCCCCGTCCGACATTGACAAAGTTCATTTTCAATCTGTAAAGGCAAGATATAATCAGAAACCACCCCGATAAGAATAGATTTTAGCGGGATAATGGGTTCATACCTAAATGAGCCTTCAGTTCTTACTGAAAGATCCTGGAGAATGAACCACACGCCGATCTTATTGTCAGTGTCTGTCAACTTGAATGCGCTGGCGCTCAAGCTACCGATCAAGTTTCTAGTAAACATTCCTGACGGTGTTTGCTGAGGTGGTTGCTGCTGTTGGGGTGGCCCATGCATGCTGTTAGGATAATAGCCTTGAGGCGCACTGTGCTGTTGACCATAATGCATCAGAGGCTGCTGTTGCATTTGTTGATGTGGAGGCTGCGCACTATATCCAGGGTATGGATTTGGCGGCTGCTGGTGCATAGGCTGCTGCGGAGGGTATTGAGAGTGTTGCAGCGGCTGTTGGTGGGGGATGTGATGGTGAGCCTGCGGGTGCGGGTGCGGAGGCGGGGTCGGGGGGGGAGGTGGATATGATGATGAGGTCGCTGCTGAAATTGAGGGCGAGGTAGCGGAATGTCGAACGAGGTTTACTTCGCGATTTCCATCCGAAGACCATAAATCCACGGTGAGGACATAGAAAGATGTATCAACCTCACTGCAAGCACACGGACTTTAGCTCGGGATCTTGCATACGGGAAAAATGGGACGCCGCGAACTCACTTGATGTCAACCTCCTTTCCCGTGGTCGCGTCCTTGACCACGAGCCGTACGCAAGGTGGGGGAGTAATTGGCCGACGATCCTGCGGAAACCCGTTAGCACGCGATCTCCTTCAACTTCACGAGAGATCACCGTACTTTGTCTCCAAAACCACACATCCTAGCCCTGATGGGCTGTTGCTTGACTTCAAGACTGTAAATGCGGTTTCCATCACCTCTGCACGATTGTGAGGGTGGTTGTTGCGGTTGTTGGAGATTTTGAATCATGCCATTATTCGGTTGCGGTGGTGGACCGGATTGGGACGAAGACGAAGACGACGATACTCTAGTCATCGGGAGTGGTGGTGGGATTGAATGGTGGTTTCTGTTTTCATGATGCTGTTGGTTTGTATGAGAAACGTACATTGCGTTCATGGATATTGTGTAATAGGTTGTGGGAAGCTCTGAATATTTCGACTTGAGGGTTGTAGGGGCTGGTTGGGCTAGGCCAAAGCTCTCTATTTGAATGTTCAAATCCCGACGAAGGAGAGGGGAAAAAGAAAAGAAAAACGGGGAAGTGGCGTTTCTCCCAGGTTTCACGGCTCCAGGTCTCTAAATAGTTGTTGTAACGTTTTTTCTTCTTGGATTCCCTCGATCGATCCTTCTTGACTTTTTTGACTTTCTGTCTTTCTTTTCTTTGCAGTTCCGAACCTGGATCCTTATAGCACTCCCGCAGAACTCACAATGATCGCCTCTGCGCCCCAAGCACCCCAATTCTGTGTGACTCGGATTCTCGGCTGGTCTGCTGACTAGGCGGCAGGAGAGAGCTGCTGGCGAAACAGTTCGAGATAACCGCAGCCGCTGGCAATAGAGTGAGGGCGAGAATCCCGAACCAGCAAGGAGGTGACTGAGGAGTACAGGGAGCTAGCGGCGGAGGAGTAGGAGGAAGCAGTGGAGGAAAGGCACGATGTGAAGGGAAATAGGAGGATCTATCTAGGGCGTGGAGGGGCCTGGTAGAGGTGGGGAAGAGAGCAGGATGATGGAATCGAGGTATGATGATACAGCAGCACACGGGAAGCAAGCCGACTATCTGCGCATGAGCACGTACGGTATGGATGCATGCAATTCAGCGACCAGGCCACAACAGCCAGTTGGGTTGTTGAGTGATTGACACGTTTGACACAGTGGCTCTGAGGACTTTTACAGTACCTTCTGTCTACACTGGATCATTGTACCTTGGATCAATTGCGTTTGACAGATCGGTATGGATCAATTAGTCGATAACCTTTGGGGGGGGTATCATGTCTTGGAGTTCTGTACATGCACATAGGAAACAGGTGGGGAATACAAGGAACCCACATGGTGACCACCATGAGCTGCCATAAGAAGAAATGAAAGTAAAGGAGAGGGGGTGGGCATACAATTAAAGTTGACCCACCAGACAGAGAGTAGAAGAAGACGGTGCTTCCGGGGGCCGGGATCAATGGCCGCATGAAGTACCAGTAAATGGTGTTGATGGCCTGAAGGCTGAAAGAGTACAAAAGATCCACCGGAATGGCGTCTGGCTTCTCTTGAATGGAGATCGTTCTTATTTACCGAACTCTTTCCAACCAAATCAACCCCCAACGGAGATCAAAAAATCATGTTTACTTTTTTTTTCTTTCTAACACTGCCGCCTCTATGTATGGTGCTCTGCTCCAAATGTCTCTCCTGACGTTGTATGTACCTACTCCTCTGGCTGCTCCTGCTTGCTGCTTGCTGCTTGCTGCTGCTAAAGGGTAGATAGAGACAACCGGCAGGAGCGCTATGTACGGCTATTTGAAATGAATGGCAAGATAGGCCTAAGTAAGGTAAGGTATGTGGGAAGGCAAGAGAAAAAAAATCGACCAAGGATAGAGAATCCTCCAACAACTGAGCGAGCCATGCAAAGACAACGAATAAACGGTATCGAGATACATAGGCGTGTAGGTTATGTAGGCACTTTGATAGAGTGATAGATGGACCCGCCCACGTTTGAGTATAATTGTTCCGAGCAAGCAAAAGAGTGGATAATTATTGACGATAAGAGGGGTAAATGCTACTAACTACTATCATACCGTATCAAGCGGTGGCTTCCTGAGTTGGGCTTGACAGAGGTCTTTTCCAAGGATTTTTACCCTTACATCAAGCCCTGGGGGGTTGTTATTATTAGTGTTGAGAAGTCTCCACAACGGGGCTGGCTACATGATGTATTCTAGGTACAGCAACTAGAGTAGCACATGTCTAAAATATAAGCCCTTCTTTCTTTCTTTACTGCAAGTAGAATCTCAGAACGTAAGCATCACAATTGAAAGTTCTTACATCTATGTATGTAGTTAGACACGTACCTGCTCTACCAAGTTGAGTAGAGAGCAGTAATAGTAGAGCTGTACTTGTAGTAGCTTCTTCACCTGTGCTGCAACCACGTCTACTCTACTCGTATTTTCCTGACGTTTGTGGACGCGACCAATATTGCATGCCATACAAAAATACGCCAAGCTCATGATTTTGGGTGTATGCAATAATGGCCCAGTTCAAAAACGTCAGGAAGATACTAGTACACGGACTAACCAGTACCAGTAGAGTACCTACTTGTGATTGATTCCTTCTTCATACCTGCCTCTCACCCCCACCTGCCATTCAGTTTTTTCTTTTCTTTTTGACCCCTCAAGCCTTCACTTCTTGCCCGCAACATCTGTTTCCCCCGTGGCGTTCCAAACAAATCCCTGTAAACGTGTTCCTTGCCCGCAACTGCAAGAATCAGCCCGACCATGCAAACAATCGCAAACCGTGGTTCGTCACACTCTATCGTTGCTTTTCCGGCAGTTGGCGGGGATGTCTGCATTCGAGCAAACATCCGACGTATCAGTAAACGTGAAAATGCCAGCTTGTCGTTGAAACTTGAGGTGGAAGGGAAAGGTTGTTGATAGGGTGGGCTGACAAAGTGCTAGCGCCTTCCCCCCCCAAATCTCAACCCTGTGCTGGAATACTAGCTCCAAGCACGACAGATTCAACGTGTCCCAGCACACTGGATCCTCGAAACGAAACATTGTTTGACCGTCAGAAATGTCTCTAAGAACTCCCAATCAACCCCACGAACAGTAATAGCGTGGGCAACTACGCAACCTGTCTATCGTTTTTGCACCGAACCCTCGGAATGCTCCCCCCCTCCAACCCCGTGCCACCCACACGCTGCACAGGAACTCGCCTTGTCATCCGATCGGTTCCAGCTTTCATTCCTCACTTTCCAGTCGATTGGGGCATAAAAAAATGTTTGTTCATCAGGCCCACCACTACCAATTGCAAAGCACTCTACCGGCGACCGTTGACTTAAAATTCGCAAAATACACCTCCACACACACCCTCATCAATGGTCGTCCACGAGAAACAAGGTAACCCCTAGTCATGAATGGGCGAGCACATATGGAGAACCATGTTCCCCCCCCCCCCCCCCCTTCTCGTCCCGACGGGACGGGCAACAGGGCCAGTCTATGTACACTATGGGAGCATGTTCACCACACCACATCCTCGGGTGTTTTTATTTCGCCAAACGGAAACAAGCATAAATGATAAAAAAGACTCCCTTCTGGTCCAAGCCACCCGGCATAAGAGAAACATCCAGAAGGATAATTCCCGCACGCATTGCACGGCCAAACGCTCGGTACACTTTCCGTAGTAACCGTACTGTCTGTACCCGCATTTGGTCCTGCATAGCCAAAAAAGCTCGAACCCCATGAGTACCAAAAACGAGCGGCTGGGGGATCAATCCAGATCCGCTGACATGGGAAAAACAGAAAAGGCTTCTCCTTGCATAAATAACAAATATCATTCCCGATCTTTGGGTACTTCCATGCGTCGTAGTACGGATCGATATATATATATATCATCCACCCATCCGTTTGATGTTCTCGATTGGGTCTGCGGGCTGACATCAGTCGGGAACTCCAATCTTCTTTTCTTTTTTCTCTTTCTTTTGTATCCCGGCTCAACACGGCAAGGTTCCGGGATTGAATAAGAAAGGTACATACTGAAATTATTGGGTTTCCAGGTTGCGAGGTATCTTGGATCTTCAGCTAGAAAAGAGGGGTACCATTGCTTTCCAAACTTAAGAATGCATTGCGGTCGAATCTGCCTGGGCGGAGTAAAACCATGGAACCACGACATCCTTGAGGTCTAATTTCACATCTTTCGCCAGCCAAACAAGATGAAGCGGATGTCATATGCGTTCGAATAATGATAAAGGCCCAATTAAAAAAGAACATTTATATCTCAAGCCCATGCCGATCTCCAGAAACAATATTAAAAAGAAAGGAGAAAAAACAAAGCCAAGAAACAAAAAACTCCCAAAAGCCAGCATTTACAAAAGACAGGAAAAAACAATTAGAGAATAAGAGTAACCCCGTTTACGCCGTGAATTTGAGAGCAAGAGGGTATGAAATACAGAATCCCCCAATCTATTTCGTGATCTTCTTCTTGAGACCAAACAGCTTATCCTTGCCGCGGTCCGCCCAGCCACGATAGTCAATCTTGCTGTGATCAATGGGCTCGAGGCTTTCTTTCTGGCCCTTGGTGCTGTTGGTGCCATTGGTGGGGTTGAGTCTACGTTTCTCTTCGTCCTCACGGGCCAAGGCAGCCTCGATTTCCTCGGGGTTCATGACGTTTCCAGCTCCCTTTTGCAGAAAAATATGTTAGTCACAACTAATTCAAGCAAATATATTGGCCATTGAAGTCCTGGGGAGCAGCAGAACAGAGGTGCAGGAGTTTCGTAATATAGATGGGTAATGCCTTTCATGTATGGTTGGGCTTTCCCGAGTATGACTCGAGAGACTATGGATATTCACCAAGCATTGTATGCTGCGTGTCCACGAAAAGGTCCATAGTCTCTCGAGCCATAAACCCAAAAGTTCCATCCGAATTGCAACGAAAGACCTCCCGCACCCCCTCACGCAACAAGCCCACCCCCCACTCTGCTGCTGCTGCTCCTCTGCCTTCAATGGTAGAAAACAAACATACCCCGCGTCCAGCATGGAAATCTCCACTACCGCGGGCCTTGGGGGCCTCCTCGACATCTTGCGCAATGCGCGCCTTCTCGGGATGGTTCGGGTCGTTCTGGGCCATGTTTCCCTGTCCAAGTCCAACCAAATGTTAATATAACTAGCACTCAGAGGCAAGCTATCAAAAAAAAAAAAAAAAGAAGTCGAAAAAAAAAGCTGACGCAGTAATTCAAGAGGACAGTGAAAAACAATGAGGAATGAGGAATTGTGCAGTAGAAGCAGAAGCAGCACTACAGAGGGAAGGGGGCGGAGAACTAAAAAGGGAGAAGAGAGGAGAGGGTCCTTACGTTTCCACCACGACCAGTAGTATAGACAGGGCTCTTGAGAACTGGGATTTTCAAGCTCTCCTCGGTTTCGACATTATCGACAGGGCCAACATTTCCGGCTCCTCCTCTCCCTTTAAATGGGGGCCCTCCGGATCGATCCCCCAAAACGTTAGTCAAAAAAAACGTAATTGTCTAGAGAACATTGCTTTTCCTTCTTCTTCCCCCCATTTCTCTTTTTTTTTTCTTTTCCTTTATTTATTTTTACTTTCGGAGGTAGTGGGGGGGGGGGGGGGGGGGGGGGTGGAAAGAAGTTCAAGGAGAAGGAAGGAGAAAAGGAAGGGAGGGCCGAACCGTGGAGGGACTAAAATATACAAACCACAAATTGTCAGTATTAACAGTCAATACAGTTTGTCACGATGCCATGCCAACAGACAGCGGGAAAGGCATGGAAGATTTGATGGGGCATTGGATTGGACTGGAGAGTGTATCCAGGGAAAGAGAGAGACTCACAATGGAGGTGCTGTCGCGCTCTGTCGACGCATTGGTCACGACGGGAGTAATCGGGATAATGTGCATGTGGTGGCCTTTTTTTCTCTCTTTCTTTCTTTCTTTTCCTTGCTTTCTTTCTTTGCTTTCTCTTTTCCTTTTTTTCGTTGCTCGGATCGGTGGTGGTGATGGAGATATTCGAATGAGAGCTGGGCAAGGAAGGAAAGGAAGCAGAGAAGAAACAACAACTAGAAGAAGAAAAAAAACCTTATGACCGGCAGGGCAGGGCAGGGCGGGGGTAGCGTGGTGTAAAAGTAGTAGGTAGCGTAGGTAGTTGTAGTGTTTTAAAAAAAAAAAAAAAAGGGAGCTAGGTGTGGGATCCAGGTACCGATGCGATGCGATTTTCAGCGCTCTCCGGGGTTTCATATACTCTAACTACAGCACCCGGTACATACTAGCTGTTCTCAGTCAGGTTGGTAGGTAGCCTGACCTCACATCACTCAGCTTCCAAGGTGCTCGCTCGTTCTAAGCTATATACAGATCTGGAGTAGAGTAGCAGCAGGGGGTTGGGTTTCGAGATGTGGTTTCAAGGTTGTGGTATTGCGATTGTGTCATTTCTTGCCTTCCTTTGGCAATCCCTCTCTCTCTATTTCGATCCTTCTGGCTTATATTATAATTAATTACCTCTACCTACCTGCCTGCCTACATACTGCCTACATACTCTCCTCGTATGTAGAGTGCTCCGAGCAAGCAAGGCCACTCGTCTAGCTACAATTCGGGAAAGTAATCAGGTAAGAAAAATGATGCACCGAGCAAAAAGTTAGGTAATATATTTGGTATGACTTTTTTTTTTCTTTCTTTTTTTTTTCTTTCTGTCCTTTGCGTTAGGCATGTCGTTGTGGTTGGTTACTCTAACCTTACTTCTTACTCAACCCTTCTTTCCTACTCTACCAACCAACTAGGCTCGTAGCAGACAGGGGCAGCTGATTGGCTCTAACTACCTCACCTACCACCGGCCTCGTTGTAGTAAAGTAATTGGGATGGTAAGGATGAAAAAGGAAAGAAACATGTTTTACGGGACGAAGGGGTTGATTGGGGAATGCCGAAACGAACGCCGGTGGGAACAGGAGAGACATGATGTGTTTTTTTTTTTTGCTGCCTGTTGGAGGCTCTGAACGGGGATGTCGAGAGGAGCGGGTGTAACTGCCGGCGACGACGGCGGCAGCGGTGGTGTGTAGGTAGAAGGCGGACTGGGCAGGGAGTAGAGTACGCGTTCGTAATTTTTTCGCTGTGATTTTACTTGTGGCCGTGGCTTACGGGTTTGGATGTGGTTGGAGATGGCGTTACATAAGAAGTGTTTAATTGTGTTGCTATATCGTGGGTTAGGGGCGGCCTGCCCCCGGGGGTGAAGGATGAGGGGGTTTATTTATTTGTTTGTGATTACATATATGGTTTAATTTCGCCGTGCGTGGCACGATGGCTTTCTTCCTTTTCTTTACGGCATTGCATTGTTTACGACCGCATGTTTCAGGGCTATTTTGATTGTTTTGGCTGTTGCGGGCCGGCACTTGAGATGGATGGGCGGGAGCTTAAGGGTTGGAAGGGTGGGAAGGAAGAAGAGGGGGGGGGGGGTTTAATAGCAGATGTGATATGAGACAATGGGGCGTGATGCTGTCCGGAGAGGTTATCGGAGCTGGCATGGCATGGCGGATGATCTAGACGGCGGCGGTCCACGTTTTGGAAGTCAGGCAGGCAAGGCAAGGCAAAGCAATCAATGTGCCAATCTCTCTGGTTATCTATCAATCAGTAGATACTTATCTTGTGAGGTCAACTCAATGACCACTACCTACATACTCGATTTACAGCCTTATCGTTCCTCCCTTGGCCTTGGATCTTTCCTTCTTCTTCTTCTTTTTCTGCGCACATCCCGCAGAAGCACAAGAGGAAGGCAGGCAGCAGCACTGCCAAGCATTTCCGACAGGGCCTCGCAATCGATAAGACGCTCGTCAATGTTTGGTTTGCATGTGACGGGGGGGTAGAGCAGGGTGGTTAGTGCGTGGTAATACGGCTGGATAGAGTAAAGGCCATCACTTCACAGGGGTCCTCGCTTGCTTCCGCCCCACGGTAGCTGCTGTGGGACTAGGCCTTCCGAGGAGGGAACATGCCGAAGAGCCCGGACAGGACGACGGACGGGCAGACCGTGGGGTGCGGGCGGTCTCGGTAGAATTGGGCACTAGCAGATGGATGGCCAGCCAGGGCTCTTTTGCTTTGTTCCGTTCTTGGCTGCAGCTGGGTGCGTGGTTGCGTCACAGCTCATCCGGCCATCTCAACATCTGGATATCGATACATCACAGAACCTCCATCTGACCTCAACCTCCAACCTCCACCCGTCCACCTATATATCGCCAATTAACCAATCCACAACTAGCAATACCAATTACAACTGCAATCACAATAGCCAATTAACCAATTCACAACTATCAATACCAATTACAACTGCAACCACAATAGTCAATTAACCAATCCACAACTATCAATACCAATTACAACTGCAACCACAATGACCGTCCCCACCCCCACCACCCCCACCACCCCCACCACCCCCACCACCGCCATCTCCCCGCCCCCCGCCCAAGACTCCCTCGAGACCTACACCTTCCCCTCCGCCCGCCTCCAGCGCACCCTCTCGGACCCCACCAAGACGCCCCTCGTGCTCGTGGCCTGCGGCTCCTTCTCGCCCATCACCCACATGCACCTGCGCATGTTCGAGATGGCCGTCGACCACGTGAAGCAGAACATGTCCGCCACGCACGAGGTCGTCGGCGGCTACCTCTCGCCCGTCTCGGACCGCTACAACAAGGCCGGCCTCGCCAGCGCCCTGCACCGGTATGCCCGCCCATCCGCCCACCACCCACCCGCAAGCCCGCTAGACTAACACCGGCAGCGTCCGCATGTGCGAGCTCGCATGCAACGAGGCCTCCACCTGGCTCATGGTGGACCCCTGGGAGGCCATCCAGCCCGACTACCAGCCCACCGCCGTAGTGCTCGACCACATCGCCTACTCCATCAACACCCTGCTCGGCGGCATCTCGGGCGTCCCCGCAAAGATCATGCTCCTCGGCGGCTCGGACCTGCTGCAGACCATGTCGCAGCCCGGCGTGTGGTCGCCCGCAGACCTCGCCCACATCCTCGGCGACTACGGCCTCCTGGTTATTGAGCGCAACGGCGCCGACATTGGCGAGGCCCTGGCGCCGCTGCAGCAGCGCTGGCAGGGAAACATATGGATCGTGCGCCAGCTGATTGCGAATGATATCTCGAGTACGAGGATCAGGCAGCTGATAAGGCAGGGGATGAGTGTTAGGTATTTGTTGCCCGGAGTGGTGGTGGATTATATCAGGGAGCATAGGCTCTATGGAGAGCATGAGGAGTTTAGGGAGACGAGGAGTAGTAGTATGCCGCCGCTGTGTAGGGCGGACGGGAAGTGCGCTTGTGTGCCCGGGGCGGCGGCGGCGGGCGTGGGGTTGCGGGTCCCGGGGCCGGCGCAGATGGTGAGGTGTGTTAGTGCGCAGCGGGAGAGGGTGCCGAGTAAGATGAGGGAGGAGATGAGCGCCGATGGTGAGGCGGATGAGGGCACGCAGACGGAGGAGGAGGATACAAGAGGCCGTAGACCGTCGTCGTGAGATGGTTTGGCTTTTTTTGCTAATGACTTTTTTTGTGTTGTTTATAGACTGGGTAATGAATGGTCTTGGGATGAGGATATGAAGGGGTGGTGGTATAAAATGTATTTTTATTTTTTGTAGTTGTAGTTCCGGTTTTTAGGTGTATTTTTATTTTATGTAGCAGCATATATAAATCTTCAATAGCGTATACCACTCCATCTAAGCAGCACACACACCAATCATGTCTGTGATTCAAACATTTCTACTCTACCTACATACCCACCGAAACCCATCTCAAACACCGCTGGCAGAGCACCAAAGTCCGAATAGATAGTCCAATAATCACAACGTTACCACAACCACTCGTACACCACTAATCACCACCACCGCGCAACAGCCCAACCAACCACCCGCACTGTCCCATACCCACCCGGCAGGCCGGTAAATTGCTGATCTACATACATACATAGTGGGGGGTTCCCTACATACCATACTCCGATCCCTCAACCCCGAGTGAACCCCAGATGCGGGTTAGGGTTCCGCCCCCCCCCCCCCCCCCCCCCCGGAAGACCGGTGACAAGTTAAATGGGCACAATTAAATACATATGTAAAATATTGGGAATAAATGGTAAATAGTAATTACCCCCCCCCCCCCCCCCCCCACCAATTCTTGCGGTCATGCGGGCACCCACTGGGTAGGAGGCGCTGACTGGCTAGATTGCCCGGCTGGCGCGGGTTCAGTTCAGGTGGAAAGGGTGGAAAGACGGAGAGACAGAATTGAATTGCAAATTGCAAATTGTGAATTAATTGCAAAGCCGCCGTATTACACACGTGCACGCCAAATGTGCAAAAGCCATTACTCATAACAGCGTTTACACGTGCGTTAACCCAACTACATGTATGTACTAGTGGTTTAAAAATAAAAAATAAAAAAGGAAGAAGATCATTAAAGAGGGTTTGTGTGCTATTATATATTTCCAAGAACGAATTAAGTAAAAGAAAGCAAAAGAAAAGAGAAACAACCTCACTTGATATGTATGCATATATCCTACACCAAGCTAGTACTAAGACTGACTCGTAGAGTGCCCCAATCGACCCTGCAGTAATACTGGTACATTTATGCACAGAAACGCCAAAGGAGGGGGATTCAATTGAGGAACGAGGAGGAGGAGTAGAGAAATAAAGATAAAAAAAAGGTTTTCAACATGAAGAGAAAGAAAAATAAAGAAACAAGAGTTCAGAAAGAAGCAAATAGACTAGAGTACTAACTACTACTGCATGTAGTGATCAATATCGAAGGACCAAAAAACGCCGCCCAACCCTGTCAGAGAAAACAAAATACAAAAAAAAAAAAAAGTATACCATAATATTCACCTAGAACTGTTACGACGTACCCTGGTCTCTTTTTTTTTTTACACTAGGGAAAAAGAGAAGTAATAATAAAAAGTAAAACAAAATAAAAAAAGTTATGAACCTACCCGCCCCCGCCCGCTAGTCCACCCGCGTCTCCTTCTTTATATATATATATATCTCGACTTGTCTTCATGTGATCTCTTTCAAAGGGTTTTGTACATCATCCACTCATTAACTGGGACATTAAACCTACACCCTCTCTGGAACCACCACTCTCTTGCCTGTTTCCCGCCGCCGATCGCGTCCTCCAGCGCAGCCTCGATATCGCACACACAATACTCGACTCTAAGGCCACTTCGGCTCCACCACTCAAGAATGTCCGCACGATTAAACTTTGTCGCCTCGACAAGCACTTCTTTGTCGTAGACCAACCGCAGTCCACTTCGTTTCCACCACTCCAGCACTTCGACTTCGCCACGGTAAGATGCACCCTTGAGCGCGTTGTGGTAGTTGAGCGAGAGCCCAGAGTTCTTCCACCACTCGAGCACATCAAGGTGGCCAAAGGAACTGGCAACATCCATAACAAGACCATAACGCAAGGTGAGACCGCTGGACTTCCACCACTGGAGTACGTGGATGTGGCCTTCGCGGGATGCATCATTGAGCGGCTCCTCGTCGTAGTCTCGAGGGAGCGCGTTCGACTTCCTGGGGTCACTGGCTGCTAACCACCATGATAGAACCTCCGTTCTTGCAAAGTGACTAGCGAGGGTAGGAATCTTGAGTGTTGGCTCTGAGTACACTTTCATAAACTCCTTTGGAAATCGCTCGTGGAAGAAGGTAAGAAGGTCCAGATATCCAAACCGCACCATCGCCTTTGCACCAAATTTGGTAAATACTTCGCCGGGATGTGACGAAAGGAAGAAGGCAACATATGCGGCGGACCCGGAAAGGATCGCGTAGTCAAGGCGTGTCCCGTTATGTTCCCAGTCTACTGAGCGCCTGAGGTTCGTACGAATTCCAAGTGCCACAGATAGTTCCCAATCGTTCAGGGTTTCGAAAATATCTGCCCAGAGTTCCGGTGGCAGAGGTGGATGGGTGGGAATCGTTGATGGGGACTTGGACTCTGTAGGAGAGTCGAGAGAGACTAATTGAGCCATATCAACATCGTCATCATATGTGGTGGTTTCAAGAGATGGGGTGCTGTTGGTATTTGTATTGAGGGTATTGGTATTGGTGTTCGTATTCGTGTTATCATTTTGCTGTGGCCGTTCGTTAAATGATGAGGCCGCGGATAGTGGTGGCGTAAAGCTGGTGGTTTGCTGGTGTGCAAGGTCGGTACGGTGAGAAAGATCGTGAAACGCCAGACGGAAGGCGAGTTCTTGGGGGTTGCCACAGGTGGGGAGGGAGCGAAGTAAGAGTAGTATATGAAGCTCTTTTTCTGATAGACGAGAATATGCCGCGATGACGGCGTTCTGGAAGAAGATGTTAGGATTGATAGACATGTAGGGGGAAAGAGGGTTACCTCTAACTCGTGACGATCCATGGAAGATATGTCGAGTGCCTTCTCAGGGCGATTACCTCTCATAAGCCTCTTCATGGTTGAGTCTTGTGGAGGCGTGAACTGCGAATGTGGTAATGGTGACGGACCTTCAGTGTCCATTGCAAATACCATATCTGCCCTCATCTCCGGATCCAAGTTGGCGACGGTATTGGCAGATTTATCCCGGTGTTTTTATTGCAAATTGCTAGGCGATTTGGTTCTTTGTCTGGTCTTCCCTCCCCGACAGCGTTTGAAGTGGTGGAGGGTGGTGGTGGTGGTGGTGGTGGTTGAGAATGGGTTGGCGGTGATGCCAAAGAACCGGGGGTGGCTGACGGGTGATGCAAGAAGCTGAAGTGACAAGGGGTATGTGTCCAGATCAGATCAGTATGTTCCTAGCGTGTAAGGCAATGCCTCGAAAGAAATGAGAATGCTCGTACACATTTCAGGACAGGTTTGTAACTCCGGAGGCAGAAAGCACGATACATGCAAGCAAGAACGTCTCTCTTGGTTGTGAACAACCGAGTCTTGGAATAACTACAACCATACTATTCTAGACCGTCTCCAACCGATGGCAACGCTTTTTCAGTGATTAGCACCACAAGCCATTAATTTCAATAATAATAGATATATTATGGCCTTCTAAGTATTTCTGTAAATTTTGCAAACTTCTCCTTGCTATTGCACTCGTTGATCTCTCGTGTGACCATCAGCCCATCTCCGCGATGCAAAAGTGTTTTAATCTACTGGTCCTACAGCAGGTGATGTAGGTATGATGGTAGGTATGTAGCCTTGCCCGATCCGCACTTATTCATTAAGTCTGAATTTCGGGTGCGTGGATTGTCCAAAGGAAACTGTGGTACCTCGAAGCTTGATATTAATGTAGATATTGCCTACCCGGTTCTAGATGCACTGCAGACGCGGCAACATTCGTCGGGCAGCGTTACAACTTCGCTCTTCAGCGAATTGTTGGTGGTTAGCCATCTCACCGGTCCGGTAGGTACTTGCCACGGACAAGGAACAGCCTTCCGATTCGCCGTTCTGACTGTTTTCCGTCGTGTCGAAGCTTGAAGTTGAGGGATAATGCGTTGGCCTCATCAGTCCATGTCAGCCTCTTATGTACAGCGCACATGTTTAAATAACATCTATATTAGCTGGTCGCTTTTCTTTCTAGTACTTACAGCATTGTACCTGCTCATTGCATAGCTAGGTTCATCCTTCGAGATTCAGGCATCGAATTTCACAGCTCGTCACTTCAGCACGGTTATCCGCGGCAAGTGTTCGTCACACTGTATCACTCGCTCTGCCCTTGCCTTTGTCCCGGGCGCCTTGGCCTCTCCTTGTTTGTTTGGTGTAAATGTGTAAGATTATCATTGACACCGGAATTGATCAGGCCTCCAATGATTTCCGGACTCTCCTGTGTTCCGCCCCATGTAGAGTGTACCTACATGTACCTACACAATAGGCAGCATTAACCCCATACTCCGGCTAGACCATGCTCGAAAACTTTAAATCTCTGTGTCTGCTGTGGGTAGGACAAGATCTGCCTTTTTTTTTCCCCCTCCAATCGACAAGGTTCAATTTTATGATTAAGGCACCCCATGCTAACATGTATGCACAGGTAATATTTATCATCACTAACTAGGCTAGTACAAGGATGACTCTCGACCCCAATCGCCAAGCATGCGCAAGGCAAACAACATTGTGAGTCTTTGGCGTTTGATAGCCAGAAAAGGGTTGTAGGAGTCTCCGTAACGGAAAAACTCGAGCAGAAAAAAAAGCTCTCTCGCCACACCCGAATGTAATTTAACACAAGTAGGGAGGCCTGAGTGAGTGGCGCATGCAGTAGATTGCGAGTATTTGAACGCATCTCTCCCTGCATCTTTCTTCAACATCCACCACCCCTCGTTCAATTCTCGAAGAGCTCTTGCATATACGATCTTGGATCCTCAAGGCCTTTGGCCTTGGGGATCTTTCTACCTATTGCTTTCAGACAATGTTTTCCCTATGACCTCAAAGCTAGGTGCGGGGTCCAGCGCAAATTTAGGCATCCCACGGAGCACTCGGTTGAAACGAATCAAAATCAATCTGACCTATGAGAGTTGGAGGAGCAAAACTCTCTCAGATAGATCGATGAACTCTCTCGGATAGATTGATAAACTCTCTCGGGTGGATCGATGAAGAGTCTTAAATGGCCGTTGAAAAAGAAGGAATCCTTGCAGTATATCCAAGCTACTCGATACACTGATCAAGGGTGAGTCATAAAACATCCTTCCATTTTACTTGTTGGAATTTCCAAGTACTCATATCGATATAGTACGTGGCATATCCGGAACACCAGCTGGGGATATTTTTTGCTGCCGACTGCTCGAACTCTATCATCATTCAAATGAACTTGTTGGTGGTGGGATGATGCGACGAACTCTTCTCTCCTATGCCACGAGGGTTTATGGTTAGACGACAAACATATTCGAAAATGAAAACGAAACTTCTCCAGGTGGTGGTGGAGAATACGCGAGAGCTTTCGAAAGCTATTGCAGATTATCAAATTTCTGATCACAACGAACGAATCACCGAACAAAACATGAATATTACGATCCCGGAGGACTCTCGTTCCTCTCCTAATTGGGGTTACGGGGGTAGTAGGAAGGGAGGAATATGTGGTCGTGCTTGTTGATCCCACATCTACTTCGACTACATGGGGCTGGACAATGGACGTGCATATCCATAACGCATTTCCATTTTTTCTTTATTTCATCAAAATTCGATTTTTCAAATACTTAATCAACGTACCTCCACGACAAAACACTCCCATAAAATTATGGATCCCATCCGCTAAGAAACTTAAAGAATACAATAAATCCCTCGACCGGCAAACCACACGTATACCTAAATTATAACATTTTCTCTCTCGGGGAGCTGGAGTGGGATTAATTCCTCATCCGGCAATCCACACGTATATTTCACTGCGATTTCGATGTTCCTCTTGGGGAGCCGGATTCATAGAGCTTCAAATACTCCGTTCGAATACGGGATAAGCTCAAACCCCCCGGCGGCCTTTCGCCGAATCTTCGCGCGAAAACTGGAGATCGGGCCCCGGGAGCACCTCCCTCTCCGGCGGAGGAAAAGTCCTTTGGGTCGCCTGCTTCAATTGATACCTATCCCGCGGGGATAAGTATTTATAGGGTAGTTGGTAGCCTGGTGTTTGTGCCTCCCCCCCGGGGGTGACTTTGCATAGGGTAGAGGGTAGCTTGGTGGCTGTGCCTCTCCGTTTGCACTGTTACCCACCCTGCCCCCCCTCCTCCCCCTGCCATTCTCTCCCATAGCTTTCCTCGCGGGAATCTTATGGTCAGTTAGAGTCGGTTTGGGGAGGACTATTATCCTATCGCCTTATCTCATACACCGACCAACTCCATAACCCATACCACCTCATACTAGTAAAGATAGTTAGCGAAATATTCAGAGAGCGACAGCCATACGAAGGATCCAAAGTTACGGCCTGTCGGAGCTCAACGCTCGTGACATACACTCTCCCCACGCGAGGGTGTCTATACTGGCTCTAGTCACTACACCCCACAAGTCTCCCCGCGGGTGTCCTCCTGGCTGCGGCTGCCGCTCTGTTAAAGAGAGGCGGTCCGACTACTGCTTGAGAAAGGCGCCGTTTAAGATGCTGTGACGAAGAAGGATAAAGAAAGAAAGGAAGAAAGGAAGAAAGGAAGAAAGGAAGGAATGAAGGAAGGAATGAATGAAGGAATGAAGGAAGGAAGGGAGGGAGGAAGGAAGGAAGGAAGGATATATATAACGGAAGATGGAAGGACAGATGAAGGTACCTAGCCAAGCACATTATGTCGATATATCTGCTGTAACTACATGTAGCTATTAGCGGTACCGGTGTAAAAAAAAAAAAAAAAAAAAAAATGAAAAGAGAGAGAAAAAAAAGCCACAATTTCGTGGATCATATGTGCGTGCAGCAATGGGATCTTTTTCAAGCCCCATTTTAAAGAATTGTCTTATCGAGTGATATAGTGTGATCCGCACCTTCTTTCTGCTCACTATTTCGGCATTGTAGGACTTTGGGTGGCGCTAGAAGAGCTGTATAAAGGTCAAAACCTGCTGCCCGTCTCAGACGTCTAGCTCTCATCTGTAGTAGAATTAAGGATCTAGGCAGGGTCATTGGTTGCAGTCCCTTGGCAGCAAGGACCCTGGTCAGGCTTGGCACCGATTCCAGGAGCTCATGCTTCAATTTTGAGCCGCAAGCCCAGCAACATCAGACCTCCAACAGAAGCTATGAATTCCGCTGCTAGAAAACTCCAACTACAAACCGTCGTAAAGTCGGTACTTTCGCTTCGTCCCCAGGGGACCGGCGCACCGCCAAGTCTCAAAGCTAACGTGCACCAGGTTTGTTGAGTTTCTATTCCTAACGGCCAGTTCAAGTGTTTACTGAGGAGGTCTTCAGCTTCTACATGCTCCGTCGGACACAGATCACATTGACCAGCTCATTACTACTATTAAGGATGCCACTGTAGAGGGTCGTGAAGACCAGCTTATGTATGAGCTTGACAAGTTCTCTAACGAGCGGGAAACTGAAATCGAGCGCTTGTGCAATAACAATCACCAGGACTTTGTCTCCTCCGTCAACCAGCTACTGAATGTCAGGAAGGGGACTGTAGATTTGACGGAGGAGATACTGAAGCTAAACCAATCGATCCAGGGATCTACAGAGAAGCTAGTGGAGCAGAAGAAGGCCTTGGTGGACTCGCGGGATGTTAGACAAAACATTGACGAAGCAACACAGGCTTTACGGCTTTGTTTGGAGGTGCTAGGGCTGGCGAACCGTGTCGGCGACCTCTTGAGGGCAAAGAAGCACTATGCAGCTTTGCGAACGCTAGACGAGCTACAGAATGTACACCTCAAAGAGGTGATGCAATATGAAGTTGCCGACATGATCCGGAAGTCCGTTCCAGCGATGCAAGGAATGGTCAAGGAAGCTGTCATGACGGATCTCAACAGCTGGCTCTATAGGATCCGTGAGAGTTCTGTGCTCCTAGGGCAGATAGCATTCGATCAGACTGAGCTCCGCCGACGCCGACAAAAGGACCGGATCAAGAAGTCGCCGTATTTGCGTAAGTTTTCATTCATGATGGTTGAATGTACCCGCCTAAAACTCCCGGATATAGGATCCTTCAAGCTCAACTCCGCGATTGAACTGGTGCTTGATGAACGGGAAGAGTTCGATGTACTTCATAATGAAAATGTCAATATTGACTTTACACCATTATTCGAGTGTCTCCACATTCATGAAGCTCTCGGAGAGAGAGACGAGTTCAGAGTCACATATGCGAACGTGAGACGGCAGCAGAAAGAACTTCTTCTATCGGGATCTTTGAACTTCACGAATGAAGACATATCCGGCTTGAACCGGCTTTTAGAAGACATAGCTGGTTTTGCTATCGTCGAGAGAGAAACGATGAAAAAGACAATAAGCTTCCGATCGGCTGTAGATGTAAATAGCTTCATCCCACCCGGATAACCTGCCTTATTTTTACTTACCCATAAATAGGTTGACGAACTGTGGGACTCAATGTGCAAAAAAGCCATCAATATCATCTCACCAGCCCTGGAAAATATTACTGATGCCGATAATCTTCTAAAAGTCAAAAATGTCCTCGCATTATTTATACAAACCATGGACGTAAGTGGGTCGTTTATGAACCTTCTTTTTGAGCAATTGAGTATTAATCTTCCTACCAGAGCTGGGGATATTCTGTAGAAGCGCTTGATCAATTCCTACTAGTACTCTTTGAGAAATACTCAGAACGCCTCAAGAAGGAATTCAGTGCCGGTTTTAAAGAAGTATTTTTGATGCCCCCCGCCCCACCTTCCCTTTATCGGATTTCATGTGTGCAGGTCCCATTGACACCACTTTATAGATTGTTACTAGTGATGACTACATGCCAATGCCTGTCAACACCCCTGAGGAATATGCCAATGTTGTCAACGTGAGTTGGTATAAGCCCGAAAAAGAAAAGGAAGAGATAGAGTACGTCAATGCCCCGCCGCTGCCAGATATTACGAGCTCTAACTCATTGTCACCAGGTTCCCCATTGTGCTACCGTTCTCGCAAATGTATCCACTGTGCTGCATCGACATACGTAACTTCCTGAACAAGTATTACTTCTTCTCCGATGAGTACTTCACACACCAAAGCGCAATCGACGAGGAACTCAAGAACGTAAATCACGCCGTCCACTTCTCCTCTTAACCAAGAAGCGTACTGATATTTTGCCTACCTGTAGTCACTGGATGAGCTCCTGTGTAACGTAGTTTGTACCGCCCTTGTGGAGCGCCTCGGCTCCAAATACCTTGGACAAATTGTGCAAATCCTCATCAACCTCGAACAATTCGAGTACGCTTGCCAGGAGCTTGAGGTGCTCCTCGTGGAGGCACGACAGTCCAACCATGGCGGCGAGATCTCGCTCAAGGCTACTGAGCAGTTCCGCGCCGAGAAAAAGACCGCCGAGAAACGTATCTTTGAGTTGGTCAACAGCAAGATTGACGATCTTGTGGAGACTGCAGAGTATAACTGGATGACAACTAAAAAGCAGGGACAGCCCAGCGAGTACTTGCAGCAGATGACGCTGTTTTTGGGTAATATCATGAGCTCAACGCTACTAGGATTACCCAAGGATATCAAAGGGTTAATCTACTTTGATGCCCTATCTCATATTGCTACTTCAATTTTGGTGCGCCTCTTTCTTCCTCGAAGTATCTTGCTCAAACTAATTTATACTCGCAGGCTCTACCACTTGCCGACTCCGTCAAGAAAATCACCAAAATTGCTGTCGCAGACCTAGACCTAGACGCACGCTATCTTCAGGACTTTGTCGCCAGCCTCAACGAGCCCCTTCTCCTCCAGATCTTCGAGGAGCTACGACAGACGATCGACCTCCTTCAGAGTGACAATGCGGATGAATTCTATAGCATTGACACTAGGATGAGGAAATACTCTAATGTCAACCCAATGAACGGACCTATATTGCTAGAGAAGTACGTTTTTTTTCTTTTCTCCGTGACCAGGAAATTTGGGCTTTTGCTGACTCGGATGATTAGGCTGGTGGTACCATCTGCTGCGAAGACGGGGTTGGCGAGATTTAGATAGAGTACCCAGGGAGTAAAATAAAAAAGAGGAGGGGGGCGTGTGTGGTTATATTGAGCGGTTTTGTGGTTACGGGGGGCTTGATTACCTTATGTTATAGCGGTTCCAGACAAGTAAGGGGGTTTGGGGCCTTGTGATAATTTCTTTGTTCAAATGACTATCTAATAAACGTAAATCATACAATTGGCTAGGTTGGAGTGAGTAGTCAAGGGTTTCGAGATAAAGCTACTCTGTGGCAGGTGAGTAATTGGGCCATGCACTACAATTAATGCGATTGAGATTATGTATCGAGTGACCATCTATGATTGGAGTGTGTCCGTCCGTCGATGACTTAAACTAAATGCTGAAGCTCCCAACGCCTACACCAAAATCAACATCAACATCAACGTAAACCAGTGGTCTTTCCAGCCAGATACAAACGTATCAGGATTCCTTCTCATCCCCCAAATATTAGTAGTTTTTATCGAACATTATTATATGTGTTCAACTAATTACCCTCTCAGAAATAAGCCAGATATGCACCTATGTTAGCCGCTATCCCCTAGACTAGGAGAAGAGCCCGGGTGTTGTGAGGTGTTAATCTCCACATGCTGCGCTGGAAGTCACGATATACGTAACCGGCCTACATACCCCATTCCAAGATTATTTTTAGTATTTCATCCGTGCCACTGATGGGTTTGTGCTTCCGATCCCTCTCCTATCTCACCTCTAGCTCACCCATCTCTGATGCCAGTGGTAAGCCTTCCCGCACCGGATTCCCAAGGAGCTGGGGGATGATGGTGATGCTCATGGCGGGGATGTCAGATGTTGTATGTAGCTAATACCACGTCCGCCGCCTCTGCAGTCTCTACACCTTGCCCTCTGGAGGTCGAGCGGCTTCTGTTAGTTACGATTAAGGGGATGGCTGGTCTGCTCGGTGTCACAGTCTGCTCGTGGATGCTGTGCATCTGTGGATTGCTGGGCTCTACATGGACCTACCCCTCCCTGTATGGGCCGGAGTGTACCGGTGACAAGCTTGTGCAATTGCATCCACTGCCGGCAGGGTATCTAAGACAGCTATTACTGTTTGCAACAGACATGAATAACTCGGCCTCGGAGATATATAGATGCACGATTTCTGTCAATTCAGGAAGGTAATCTTCGTATATGAGGTAGTGCCTCCTTGGGTGCCTACCGGGCCATAATGTCGTCAGTGTACTTGAGGGCTAGTGGTGGGCAGTGCGGTACGGTACAGCGAATTGTCCATGATTTGACTGATATGGTAGGCGGTTGCTGTTTGTGAATGGTGAAGTTCACATGGCCAGTGGTTAATTATAGTGTTGCGATTTTGCTGTTGTTGCCAGTTGGTCCATATAGTTTGGACGTTGTTCCGGGTGGCTTTCTACAGGGTCACTTACATGTAGGATTACTTTACTCGCTCTCGGTGGGCCAGCCGGCGGCCAGTGCGGTATTCAGTACATGAATGTTCATGATTCGATCGATGAATTCACATTCAACTACATGTATGTTACTCTCGCCCAAACAGTGTATTTTCCTGCTGGTGTTTTGGCGCGCACACTGAAATGTGGATATAGAGGGTTTAGCCCTGTGTCAATGATAATTATGCGTGGATAATTGTTACCTTGGCGGTCACCGGCTTCTAGCTCTCATGCCATGGATACATGTAGTTCAACACAACCACTTCGCTGGCCTGGATTCACAGCCTTCACACGATTTTCAGAAGCCTATATACCTAGCTGACAATGCGTAATTATAAATTTCCAATATGTACAGCCCTTTTTCTTTTGCTAAAACTGGCCCCTAACTAACAAAACAAACAATACTACCCTCTCCCCACCCCCACCAAGAACCCCCAAAACCCCAACACCGTCGTCAGCTCCTTCCCAATACCATACAGCGCTCCCCTCTCCCTCTGCACCGCCTCCATATGCCGCCTATAAACCCCCATATACGCCGACTTCGCCCCCCTCTCCACCAGCATCCGCGCCAGCTCCCACCTCCCACCCAAAATCGCCGAATCTAAAACCCCGCCACGATCCGTCTTCGCATTTACATCCGCGCCGCGTCGCACCAGCATCTCCGCCACCCGCTCATTCGCGTTCTCGGCCGCCAGCAGCAGCGCCGTCTTACCCCCGCGCGTCTCCCGCGCATCCACCTCCGCGCCGTGGTCCAGCAGCAGCCTGACCACCTCCACGCACCCGCCCACGGCTGCTAGGTGTAGCGCCGTCACCGTGTGCTGCTGCGCCCGCTGCTGGAACCCGAGGACCGAGTAGCGGTGCGTGTGCGCGTTGACGTTGAGACGGCGTGTTTCAAGCAGCATTTGCAGCGGCTTGAGGTGCCCGCGGAGGGAGGCCCAGTAGAGCTTGTGGTAGGGCTCGGAGGCGCCTTCGGGCGCTAGGTTGACGGTGCGGATCCCGTGGAGGATGAATTGCGGGAGGGTTGGGGCGAAGAGGGCGTGCAGTTGCTGGTTTGTGCGCAGGAGGGCGCTGAAGCTGCGTGGGGGGAGGTGCGTGGAGATTAGGAGGAGGAGCTCGTTGGGGAGGTCGAGGAGGTGGGGCATTGCGGGGTGGCAGGTGGCTAGCTGTGTGGTAGCTAGTGGTATATATTGGAAGTGAGGAGCGGGGGGATTTGAGTATTTGCAATACTCACTCCTAACTCACTCGTGTGTGGGGAGAAGTCGCTTAAGTATCTCTCTGTTTACATTGTGAGCTAAAATGAATCTCTGGGTATTTGGGCAGGCATATGATAGGACGGCATGTGGGCAGCTAGCTATTAACCAGCATGGTAGTTTATTGGATGTGTTTCTTCAGCTGGGCGAACAAGACTCTGCGCCATCAGCAATTTGATCACTCATCTGGTGTTATACAACATACGCCGCGGGTCGTTCCAGCCAAGCTAAGCGGGCCAGCAACAATAAGCTTATCTGCGTCGAGGCATACATACGACGTTTCCACACCACACACATGCCGATATTTGGAATTGTCGACTGGCAAATAAACAACCTATCTACTCTAGCTAGGTAGGTAGTGCAAACATCGCATGATGTGTCTCTAGACTCCCCTCTCTCTCCGGCACATTCCGCCGGATTACAATACAGCTCTTGATATTGGGGTATATATATAAAAAAATACATATCCGGACTAAACAACGAGGGCCCGAACAAAAAAAGGACCTACTTACCTGACTATCTACCCGATTCGCGCCCCAAAAAACAGATTAACCAGGACCACCTGGGTAGCAGGAAACGGTATATTCCGCTACAACTCACATGATCGTCACCTGAAGTGCAAGAAAAAAAGAAAAAGAGGAACGGGCATTAACGACCTACCCGCAGTAATCGACCTCTGGTGATGGAGAGAGAGAGAGAATATGTAGTGATACGATTCTTGAATCTGACATATCGGGAACCTACCACTCGGATTCCGGATATTTCCAGCTCACATGGGCGTTCGGCTACAAGCATTCCCGGTCATGACCTATCCCCGGGAGCCCTCGGGTTCCTCTGACTAGTTGCTTGCAAGACGCGAAGGGGGAAAAAAGATTTTGTTCTGTAATCTGGAATGTAAATTGATGTTCTGGACATCCGGCGTTTTGGGGGGGCTATGGTTGGTTGGTGCCATCATGGGATATCACTCGGTGATCTACTTGCCCTGGATTGGTAATAGAAAACGGTTGCGCGGGCCGAATCTACTAATTTTGGGTGAACCGAGGGGAATATTAACGGCAGTTCTATATTAGAGGATGGGTATGTGAGAATTTGATGGCTTTGGAGATCTGGACTACCCTTTGAAATGTACGGGTGAGACATTGCTGGTCACTCGACCAGGTCCACAAATAGCTCTTCCCGGAGAATCTACATGTAGCCAAGGTTCAGCCACTAAAGCGAGATAAATCACTCCATTTAAGGTCTAGTCCTAAAGAACTTAACTACAATAAAAAAAACTTCAATTCTCAAATCAAGGCTTTAGAAGAAAAATCGATATCAAATAAGAACACAGGCTACCGCAAATGGATCGCAAAATGCAACCCATAACCCACCTCATATGTAACAAGACAATACGCACTGTGCAACATCTAGGTCTCAATAAGGTTCTCCTCCTCAGCAGGACCTTCTCCGGAATTATCTCTCGTGTCCTTGTTGCCTTCCCTCTCCTTTGCTTTGCCCTTGCCCTTGCGGTCGCCACCACTTCTGGCATAGAACTCGTTGATGACCTTGGCTGGGATTCTGTTGAGCAGCTCCTTGGGGTAGATTCTGAGCAAGCTCCATGCCAAATCTAGAGACTCAAAGATAGTTCTGCTCTCGTATGCTCCCTGTGCGACGAAGGTCCTCTCAAACTTCTCCAAGAACTCAAGCGACAGACGATCCTCAGAGGACAAGGCCTCCTCTCCGACGACAGCCTTCATACCGGCAGCATCACGTCCAATGGCGTACTTTGCGTAGAGCTGGTTGGATACATCACTGTGATCCTTCCGTGTCATACCCTCACCAATAGCAGATTTCATGAGACGGGAGAGCGAGGGGAGAACGTTGATAGGGGGGTAAATTCCACGGTTGTGTAGCTGTCTGTCGACGAAGATCTGACCCTCCGTAATGTAACCAGTCAAATCAGGAATTGGGTGGGTAATATCTGTGAAATATTAGGACTGTATCAATGCTTTGAGCTAGGGTAAGGCTGGCAAACCATCGTTAGGCATTGTCAAGATAGGTATTTGGGTGATTGATCCATTTCTTCCCTCGACACGACCAGCACGCTCGTAGATGGTAGACAAATCCGTGTACATGTAACCTGGGTAACCACGACGACCTGGTACCTCTTCACGGGCAGCGGAAACCTCACGAAGAGCGTCACAATAGGCGGAAAGATCGGTAAGGATGACCAAGACGTGTTTCTCTAGCTGGTATGCAAAGTACTCTGCAGTTGTCAATGCCAATCTAGGCGTGATAATACGTTCGATACTGTTGCACAATATTGTCAGTCCGATATCTATCCCGCTAGCTACCCATTGTACATGACTTACGTAGGATCGTTTGCCAAGTTCAAGAACAAAGTAACCTTCTCCAAAGAACCGTTCTCCTCGAAGTCACGTGTGAAGAAACGACTGGTTTCCAAATTGACACCCATAGCAGCAAAGACAATTGAGAAGTTATCATCGTGACCATCATGGACACCCTTGGTATTTCCGGGACGCTTCACGAGACCTGCTTGACGACAGATCTGGGCAGCGATTTCGTTATGGGGAAGACCGGCAGCAGAGAAGATGGGAATTTTCTGACCACGAGCTACATTTGATGTCAGCCACAAACGTTCCGACTGAGGAATTTATTGCGCAAAACGGGGCAAGCTCACCGACAGAGTTCATTGTGTCAATAGTACTGATACCAGTAGAGATCATTTCCTCGGGATAGACACGAGAGTACGGGTTGATGGGAGATCCGTTGATATCTAGATAATCCTCTGCAAAAACCTTGGGACCCTTATCAATAGCTCTACCAGATCCATCGAAGATACGACCCAGCATATCCTCCGAAACAGGGATCTTGAGATTCTGTCCTGTGAATTCTACGGTTGTCTTGCGTACGTCGATGCCGGAGGTACCCTCGAAGACCTGGACGACAGCTCTGCTACCACGGACCTCCAAAACTTGACCGGCGCGCTTGCTTCCATCTGGTAGGGTGAGGTTTACAATCTAATATCTTGGGCTTAGCTGAGCTTATCCTTGAACCCTAGATGGAAATGAAGCTCACCTCATTGTAGCGAGGAAATTTGACACCATCTTTACAAGCGAGTTAGCTCCAATTCCAATTGATCACCAGAACGTCTCAGTAAACCCGGAACTGCAGATTAACTGCGGAACCACACTGTTTCCCCCGAGGATGTTATTTGTAAAATTGGTGGTGCAAAATACCTAGAATAACCAAGGGTCCGTTGACACCAGCTACCGTGTTGTAGTTGATTCTTGGGTTGACCTAGTATCTTTATAAGCTAAGGGCTTATGTGAGTCTCAAAACGGATATATACCCCATAATTACGTGTAGCGGCAGCTGCGTTAATAGCAAAAGCCTAGATGTTACAAAGAGTTCCTTTTAGCTCAATCGTAGAAGTAGTGTGGGTGTATCTGGGAAACACGCACCTCTTGGGGCGACATGCGTCCAGACATCTTCCGGGTTATTATTTGAGTGTTCGGAAGTTGTTTATATGGGGGGGTCGTGTATCTAGGTATTGAGGGGAAGGATGACGAAGGCAGACGAGTGAGGAGAGGTTAAAGCAGGCGGGCCAGCTGGTTGCAGATGACGGCCGTGGCTTGGGTTGGTTGACCCCCGCCGTCATCACGTGGCAGTGGGATGCCAAGCGACCACTAACGTATCCCGATTATCAGATGATAGGAGCCGCATCTGATAAGTCAAACGACGTACTGCGATGGAAACTTCTCTGCTTATCTATTTCTTCCATCTCTTTACGCGTAGCTAATTTCGCAGCTTACCTATCCCAAGAACAGAATAGAGTAGACTAGAAGGCTGAGAAAGGATTCTGAAACCAATGATGTTTGCCGTCATCATGTGGCTGCAAATATGAGGCTGACAAAACGACAAAATGACACATTCCCAGACCCCCCGGTCATCCCCTAACTCTTCGCTCTTGAAAAAAGACAGGCCCCTCATCTGCTCATCTTCTTGGGTTGACACCAATATTGCAAACCTTTCTTTTCTACATAACATCTTTCCTGCCAAGTATCAACTTCATTGAAATATCAAACATTCGGAAGAGGACAAAACCAGCTTCAGGAATTTCAATCCCATTCCCAATTTTGACTGGATTTGATTTACGAATCTCAATCAGCTCAAGCTCAAACCATGGCCTCAACAACTACAGACGTTGCTCCCCCTACGGGTCCCTCCGCCGAAAGGACAGGCCCAAATGTATCACATCGTGGAGGCCATAGGGGTCGTGGTAGGCGTAGTGGTAGCGGCCCCGGAGGAGCAGGAGAAGGTCGAGGTGGTTCCCGTAAACCCCGCGGCGACCGCGGTGGAAGAGGAGGCCGTGACGGACGTCAGCAGCACCAAAACAAAGCCCAAGATGGTGTACCGGAGGACGAGCAGCGACCAGAGTCAAGGGCTAGTGTTTTGGCTGGTCCTGCTGCACCCCAAGCAACAGCCGTGGTTAAGCCAGATGCCGATGACGTTGCTTCAGACGCGGATTCTCCAGTTTGCTTTATTTGTGCAGATCCAGTCATTTACTCTGCCATTGCGCCGTGTACTCATACTACCTGCCACATATGTGCGCTGCGTATGAGAGCGTTATATAAGAATAGGGCTTGTGCGCATTGCAGGGTAAGGATTTCTCATGTTTAGAAAGTAGTGAGAATGGGCTCCTAATATACCGCAACAGACAGAGGCGGAGTGGGTAATATTCTCGAAGCTTGAGGAAAAGAAATTCACAGACTTCACGGCATCCGACATTGTCTCAGCAAACGAAGCTCTGGGAATCAAATTTGACGATAAAGCTATTGAAAGTGACACAAATCTTCTACTGCACTACAATTGTCCTGAAGACGATTGCACTCGAGCGTGTCGAGGTTGGCCGGACTTACACCACCATGTCAGGAGCGCTCATTCAAGAGTTCTATGGTAGGTTCACCATTGCAAAACTGAATTATTTTTGATCATTATTTGGGGCCAGATTTTGCAATTATTTTCTGTTGAAAGCATAATTACCAATCGAGCTCACAATCTGGCTCAGTGTCCCGTGGCCATGCCAATTTTAGTCATTGCTAACCTATTACAGTGATCTCTGCGTTCGAAATAAAAAGATTTTTACGCATGAACACACACTTTTCACCCAGCAAGAGCTCCGCAAGCACGAAAGGACAGGTGATGATCAACCGGGCTCTGAGAATCAAAGTGGATTCAAGGGCCACCCAGAGTGTGGTTTCTGTCGGCAACGGTTCTATTCCTCCGATGAACTCTTTACTCATTGTCGGGACAAGCACGAGCGCTGCCACATATGTGACCGGAGAAACCCAACGGCGCAACAGCAGTATTACATCGACTACAATGCGCTAGCAGCTCATTTCACGAAAGACCACTTCATGTGTGCAGATGAAGAGTGTATGGAGAAGAAGTTCATTGTTTTCGAGAATGAAGTTGACCTAAAAGCACATCAACTTGAAGTACATCCTAATGGACTTTCAAAGAATGCTAAAAGGGATGCAAGAAGGGTTGATCTCAGTCAATTTGCAGAGCCCCGGAGTAACGATAGAGGCGGGAACCGTCGCCGCCGCAATGACGGTCGTGGGCAACAAGAGCAAGAGGAGGCTCCAATAAGGAGTGAACAACAAATGACCAGAGCTGAATTGGCGTATCAGAGAGAATTGGCGTATAATAGAACTTTGGCTGTACAGAGCGCCCAGTCCACAACCCAGAGGACATTTGGGGGACAATTAACGGAACCGGCACACGCTGCTAGAGCACCACCACCTTCTGCAGCGAGACCAGCAGCGCAGCCTGTGGCTGCTACTACAAGCCAAGCACCCCCTGCACGTCCTCCAGCACGACCTGCTGAGCCATCACCGGCGGTAGTGGCGGCGGCGGTGGCCCGGGATGCGTTCCCGCCTTTGGCGAGGCCGAGTCCGCCCGTCTCAAGGCCAAGTCCACCCGTTTCGAGGCCGAGTCCCCCGGCTGCAGCCGCATCGTCTAGTGCTACCCGGGGCCCAATCACTAACGCCGGTAGGGGTGCACCGGTTACGGATGACGTTAAGAGGTTGTAAGTATAAATCCTTAGGCCTAGAAACTCTGCAAGGCTAACCTTGTACAGGAGACATGCTGCAGTAATTGACAGGGCATTAAATATGCTTCGGCACAGTGATAAAAAACTCGACACCTTTAAAGCGGACATCAGCAGGTATCATCAAGATTCCTTAACAGCTAGTGGTCTGGTCAATCAATTCTGGGCCCTTTTTGACACGAACGCCTCTGAACTTGGCATTTTGATAAAAGAACTCGCCGATCTTTTTGAAGACGAGCCAAAACGCCAAGGACTTCTCAAGGCCTGGAACGACTGGAAAGTCATTAATGAAGATTATCCCCCCTTTGCGGGCGCCTCTTCCTCTGGTTCTGGAGGAACGGAAAACTCTCGTGTACTCAAGATCAAGTCCTCAACGTCTCATTCAGCGCGATCCACCACCGCCCGTCAGGGCGCCTGGGGAGCCGCTGCAGTAGTTCCATCATCTTCATCTGCATCTTTTTCTTCCGCTCCTTCCGTACCTGGCCCTGCACTGAGATCGGCGAACCGCCAAGGCCCTGGCGCACATACCCAAACACCTTGGGTAGCACCTAGCGCCCCCGCTCGACCGGCAGCGTCAGGTCCTTCTGTTCCTGCTGGACCTTCAAGAAAGGTGGGTAAGGATGAGTTCCCAAGTCTGCCCACGAAGCCGCCGCCACCACCGGGATGGGGCCCAATCAAGAAGAAGGATCCGTACACGGCTTATAACGGCGCCCCTCCTCCGCAGGTAGGCGCATGGGGGGGAGGAGGAAGCGGGGGTGAACAGAGTGCTGAACCTAGTGAGAGCGAAGAAGTCGGTGGGAGCAGCAATGCAGGGAAGAAGAAGAAGGGCAAGCAGAAGCAGATCCTGTTCCACGTTGGACTGTAAACAATTAATCATACCTTCTGTCGAGCTTGGTAGGGGGAGTTTAGTCTGCTTTTTCATGTATTCTAATAGAACCTATTGGTTTTTTTAGATTGCAGCTCTCTTACTTGGGCCGGGATACATAGGATAGATTAGTACTTTAGTGATATAGCCAGAATTGAAATGATCCATTCATTGAATGATTTCTCACTCCACTATAGCCCAATCTCGAAAGCATTCAAATCAAAACCTTTTGACTAACTCGGGCCAGTGAGCTTTTGTTAGTGCTCTGTTCGTCCTATCTTGATACACAGAATATAATTCCCCTCTTTAATAATAGAGCGACGAAAGGCCGGGTATCATCCTATAATTGTGATTTTATTCGCGATCGTCTTAGGACCAGCTCCAGGGTTTTATGCATTGTATCCATAGAGGTTTCCCTAATCATGACTCCATAACAGACGGGTACATTTGAACCTATTACCTATCCCTTAAGGCGTAAATGTTATATTATGGTGGTTCTTAATATCGAGTAGTGCTTTTCTCGGATTTGGAAATTATCAGCGTCTGGCTATCAAACGGTTGAAATTGATTGAACGGCATTTGATTGGCTCTAGTCGGCCAAGTCAAATGCGCTCTGATTTAGGAGATACTCCCACCCTTCTCAAAAGCACCTGAGAATAAAACAAACCTGCATGATCACCTAATAGTTAGTATCAATCACAAGCTATCACTCATCTCAAAACCGGGTAAGCGCCCAATCTATCATTACCCTCCCGATCCCATACTAACCACCCCACTACCCCACCAAGGGTGACTCTTCGATATTCTCAACTTGAAAACAAAAAAAACAAAAAACATGCCCTCAGCGCACCCATCAATCGGCTTCCAGGCCGTGATCCTATGCGGTCCCGGCACCTCGCTCTACCCATTCACAGGCGCCGAGGACCTCCCAAAGGCTCTGCTACCCATCGCGAACAAGCCCATGCTGCATTACCCACTCGAGTGGTGCGAGAAGGCCGGTTTTGAGTGTATACCTGCCTTAGTCCTAGTTCTCAGCGTGTCGTAGATAGTTCAATTTTGTCTGATACTTCGTGAATTCCGTAGCAATCCTTATCCTGACGCTGAGCGAGCACCACACCGCAATCCAGTCCTACATGCGCTCCCACAGGTTGCAGAAATCGTCAATCTACATCCAAGTCGAGCCGGCCTCGTCCCTCAATGACAACCTCGGAACAGCGGACGTGCTCCGTATCGCCTACCGGAAGGGCTGGATCAAGAGCGACTTTGCCGTGCTGCCGTGCGACCTTGTGACGAACCTTGATGCCCAGGAGGTCGCCCAGCTATGGATGGTTGAGCAGGCGGGTTTTGACGGGGATATGGGGCAGCGGTCGCGGCGGAGCCAGAAGGGCGGTGATGGGGATGAAGGTCGGCGGGGCGGGCTCGGAGTGTGGTATGAGACGAGGGGAGAGGGTGCGGTGAAAGGGCAGGAAACAGACTTTTTGGCAGTGGATGGCGCAGTGAAGGGGGAGGGCACGGCAGGTGGTGTGACGCAGTTGTTGTTTACGCTGCCCGGTGACTCGTTGAGAGGTGGGGGGGAGAATGCGAGTATAGAGCTGAGGGGGGGATTGTTGAGGAAGCATCCGAATCTGCAGCTGCTGGCGACGAGGAGGGATAGTGGAATCTACTTCTTTCCGTATTGGGTGCTGAAGTTTATCGATAGAAACCCAAAGCTGAACTCTATCAGGGAGGATGTGTTGCCGTGGTGGTCAAAGGCGTGTTGGCAGAACCAGAGGCTGGCACGGAAACTCGGGCTGCTAGAGATCCTGGAGGGGAGTGCAGAAGGTGGCGACGATGACAGCGAAGATGGCAGCGGCGAGAGGTACCAAGTGGGTGCTATGAGCTCCACAAGGAGACGGAGCTTTTCGAACAAGACAAGTGAGGCGGAGCGGGTGTTCGCGTCCAGGGTTCCAACGACCTCGGGGGAGGCGGCTGCGATTGCGACTGCAAGCTTACAGGGGAAGAAGAACGGGGATGTCCAGATCCCGTCGATTACGGCGTATCTACCATCTGCGGCGACGGGCTTCACGAGACGGGTGGATACAGTGCATTTGTATCTTTTCACATCACTGTATCTGGCGAAGTCTGACCCCTCTGTTCCTTCCACAATGATCAAGATTGATCCTTCGTCGTCGATTGACCCGAAGGCGAAAGTCACGAGCTTCGACTGCCTCGTTGCAGACAAGGTTTCTATTGGAGAAAGAGCCCTCATCAAGCGCTCAGTTCTAGGTAGCGGTGTAAGCATTGGTAAGAACGTGCGGCTGACAGGATGCGTCCTCATGGACGGCGCAAGCGTTGGTGAAGGGGCCAAACTAGAGGGATGCACAATCGGGCGAAAAGCCATCGTAGGTGTCAAGGCAAACCTGAAAGACTGCGAGGTAGCAGAGGGATATGTCGTCGAGGAGGGTGGTAAGTTAGCCACTTCTTAGTGATGGTAGTGAGGATAAGTGGTAACTGACCGCATCCCTTTCTGTGCACAGCGGAAGCTAAGAACGAGCGATTCGTCGCATTTACCGGTCTCGACGGAAATTATGCATCAGACGCGTCCGGCCTCGGCTCCGACGGGGACTATGACGACGATGAAGAGTCGGAGGAAGGTAACGATGCGCCAAGGGGAAAAGACGACGATGAAGAAGATGAAGAATCAGAGGATGAAGAGGAGGAGGAGGAGCCCGAGAAAGAGAAGAAGACACTACCCGCGGAGCCCAAAGCAACACCTACTGCGCCTGCACCGCCTCCCCCCACACCAATCGCAACTCCAGCACCTGCGAAGGTTGCCGAGGCGAAGGCGGTCGATATCGTGGAGGCTGCTGAGATTGTAAAAGCCACCGAGAGCACCGCTGATTCATGACGGCCGTGGACCTTGGTACGGGGAGTTTGGGGTATGGTTAGAGGGATTAAAAAATATTTTTAGTAAAAAGGATAGGAGGGAAGGCTAGAATTTGTACCGTTCGGAGTTGTTTATGCTGATTATGCTCTTGTATTATTGCTTCTACATGCGCTAAAATTATTTGACGTATAGTTATTATTGTATGTAGGTGAATATCATGTTCGTCATGAGAAAAGCGTTGGTATCTGCTTGTTTGTCAGTGTTGGTTTGTGGCATCACAGAGCATCACTCGGTCGCCAAGAATGCATGATGTTGGATAGAACGAAATCATGAAGTGACTTGGATAATTGATAGATGTGAGAGTGTAACCAAGGACATACGGCCACCTATACATGTAGTCACAGACATGGCATGCTGTATCCAGACATGGTTTCGCTATCATTTAAAAGGCCAAATACATCATATCCTACATGTGGTGCAAGGTGTAGAGCCCGACCTTGTTAACCTCGCTTACAGCACTTCTCATGTTGAAATCTGCGTACAATCTCAGATATACGTGTATCTTTGTACATGTAGTAGAGCCCATAATCAAAGTGACGTGCATGCACAGTACACACACATTATGGTTGTTGACGCCGCCCCCGTCCCTTCTCGCACCAGGAATGAGTGCCTACCAGACACAACCTGGACTCGAGCGTCTAACTTCTGAACTCATCGTTATTAGTGCACGAGCCTTTGCGAGCTTTATACACGAGGTGAACGCAGAGGAGACAAGCTCTCTATGTGCTAGTCCAACCATGAACGCGGTCTTTGCAGAAGGCCCTAGCCGAACCATGAATGAATGGATTGAATACCGCACCATTCATGACTGGCTGGCTGGTCTACCCATGAATGGACCAAAGATAATAGACCCACTCCGTACCGAAGGAATGTTTGCACACTAGGGAATAGTTGTCACTTAATATGCTGTGAGTATATCGCCGATATAGACCGATTACATGTAGGCACGGTTTCGGGTGATCTTGCAAGTACTTCCTTCTTAGCCTCAGACACCAGTATTTACCAAGCTCTCAGGCTTAGAATCAAATGGGATTTGAAATTTTGGGTACCTAACTCCGGGTACCCCAGCTACAGTATTTGCTGAATATGGACTACATGGATCCATTGGATTAGATGCCGGGTGGTTCATGGACATAGTCGAACTGGGGACACATGGGTCTATTAATGGGCGGAGTGGTTCACTCATGAATGTTCGTGGATCATATAGGTCATTTCACCGTTCGACCAGGCAAGGCCAACCCCCCTGATTACACTACGTTACTGCCGTAGTCCTGAGAGTCATAACCCACCTTGTTTTAATTCCACGGTTTCATAAACGACGGAACAACTACGTAACAAAAATAGCAAGTGAGTCTACTCTATTAACCCCAGTCGGCCATCGATGCATAAAGATATATATGATGATACAAGAATGAATGTAATTGCTCGTAATGCTAATATGAAAGAAGAACGCTAATTTATATTTAAAGGGAAACAAAAAACCATGAAATTAAAAGCCAATCACAAAGATATCTCAATCTGACTCAACCACCATGCATGCAACAGAAAAGTCCAAACTTATAATTAGCACCTCAACGGCAATAAATGCTGCACAAGCGCAGATTGTCGACAAAGCGGGCACTCAGGCTGAAGTTTGTTAGTTATAATGATCCATAAGAAAAGAGACCTTGGGTTTACAAACCTTGCTACGACACCACTCACTAATACAGCTCCAGCAGAATACATGCCCGCACCCCGTCGCCGTTGGATCTTTCATATTCTCTAAACACAAGGTACACTTCCTGCCCATCTCTCCACTCATGAAGCGCATAGTCTTCTCATTGTCCAGATCGTACATCGCTCGATCTCTGCCCTGATCCTGGACATGTGTCTCGGGGTTACTTAGTACGCCGCCCGTAGCAACAATGTCGACCGCCTCCTCATCGGTCGTGACAGCCGACGTATGCGAGAACGTATTCGAGATATGGAAGTACCCCTGAGTAGCCAACTGCGCCAACAGCAGCAGGCCCAAAACTTCATACCCGACTCGCTGCTCATGCGGCGCAAGTCGCTTCGTGAAGATATACCTCAGCCCCCAGATGCGCTTGGATAGGTGGTAGTATGCGCCAGTGAAGTAGAACATACCCAAGTGCACAGCAAGGAGGCTCTCCGTGGATGTGAGGGTGTCTAGGTGCTCCAGCAGGTATTTCTTCACTTTCATACCCACCGAGTCCGGGCCCTGTTTCTCACCATTCCGCTGCGCCGTTCCGGACTGGAGCTTCTGCCGTATGCGTGATCTGAAGCGCGGGAGCAATTTTGTGAGGAAATATGGGACGAGAATCGTAGTTAGGATGAAACCAGCGCGACGCTTAATGCCCGGAAGACGGAGGGTTTTGGACTCGACATGAAGGATATCACAATATTCCTCGCCGAGTGTGCGCGCGCCGCGGAGAGTCGTGAGAGTAAGGTAAAGGATATCGGCGAGTGTTTTGGTCTCGAGTGTGTATTTATGAAGGATTCGAGCTCCTGGTCGGCTGTAAGTTGGGCGAACACACAACGCACTGCAAAGGAGGCAATGGGGTCACGAACCATAGACTTTCCGGAGGATTGTGGAGATCTGCTCGAGTAGTACGCCTTGGTAATATGCGTCCTTCTGATTCGACCGAACTAAGGTATGTTAGAGATCCTGCCCACGGTATGAGCTGCCTGTGCTTAGAGGGGGGCGTTACTTATGTCTGGGGCGGCAGCGAAGGGGAAGTTAAACGTTGACTCTGAGGACGAGGACGAGGGCGAGGAGGCACTAGGCGCTGCTGGTCCATTGGCGATGATGGCTACTGCTCCGGAGGCTGTTGTTTCTGTAGCCATGTATGTTGATGTTTACAGGCTTTCGTGATTGAAATCTTGGGTTCACGTTGTTGGCGTTGTGAGCAGCAGCCAGAGAGCCTCGGCTTGGGAATAATGGATTGACGTGTTGCCTTATCTGATCATCACACCCGAGGTCTCACAACTTGTGAGAGTACCGCAGTAATAGTATTTAAATCCCTGATTTTGAATCCCTTGGATTTTGATCTCGGGTTCGATTCATCACAGTACATTTTGTGCTAGTACCTATAACGCACATGTGTTTACTATAAGGACGACGAATTCGAGCTCCATCCAGCAACGCAAGCTCAACTTTCAGATCCATGATCTCTGTAGATAATCTCTGAAGGCATAAGATTGAAGGCACTCAAAAGCTCGAAAGGTATTTTTGTATGTACGTACGATGTTGCGAGTTCACCTAAGAGTGGCTGTAAAATGAACAATCACCCTTTCTCACTCGACAAAATATAGCCCTTTCTGGGTCAATGGCGAACCGACTCAATGGCGAATACGCACTTATTAGCCAACCAAAACCACTGCAAATGTAGAAAAAGAGTGTGATTTCAATAATAGAATTATGTGTTATTTATTTTAGGGTCATGCCTACTAGGATAAGAACAAGTAACCAGCAGAAAAAACTAACAAACAAAATCGTGACTTCTAGCTGGTCGTTCTATCCGGATGAGATACATATATGGTATCCTCTTGCACCATTTATGTAGCATAGCTGGTTTGGTAATTCTCCGTTGGTTCGAGTTCGTTATTGACGCAAAAAGTACTGTACCGTCCAGTTAGGTCCGGTTTCGAGAACACCCAACTCTCCCGCACATTACATATTGCAATTGCAGGTTATCATGCAAGTTGATGTCAAAAAATACTTGTATCTATACCTACCTATGATTAAATTATTGCACGTGGCACTGTCAAAGTACACGTGCTATCAGCGCACCTATATATATAATTCTGATATTAATCTGTAGTTAGAAAACAAACTTCACCTCTAGCCACTTTGTTGCTCAAAACTCCTCATATTTGAATGGATGTATCTACTTATATCATGCTTCCGGATCCCACGTAATTTTCCATTCAACACTGGGCGCCTTTCAGCGATTTTGGTCTACATTCATGGGTGGGCTCGAGGAAGAACAATATTGCAAGAACTACATATACATACATGTATGTACTAGTATCCCTATAGACTTTCATCATGTTCCTGTTAATCATGAAATTCCTTTAATATAAGCAGTGATTGGATATGATGTACCCATTTAGCCGTAAACCTCGCTGTACCTACATGAGTACCTAGAAGTGCCACGACTCACGAGCTGTCAATGCAGTACTGGCTGCGCAAAATCCCTGTCACACATTACCCAAATGAAGGCTTCAATTTTCCAAATGCCCGTCATGAGGTCAGCTTAAGCAACTCGCCAAATATGTGCATCTTACTGATCCTTGTGGGGACAGCTTTCCAAAGAAGCAGATTGGTCTTCGACGTGCTTCGTGCTGCAAGTAGAGTACATGTAGGGCACGTGCTCTGCCAAACATGCAACGACCCCTCAGATGGAACGGAGGCTTCTAATTCTCGGAACTACAGTTTACTTCTTGCGGGCCACTCGATAATGCTCTCCGAGCTTTAAATTGCGAGGAGTAGGTGCACAACTAATCAGCCAGGGAACCCGTGGTTTAATTCCTTTCTCAACCGGATGACGCAATGAATTGTGGGCTAAGCATATCTTTTCACTAGGTATCTGGCAGTGAAACCAAATCCATCAAATTGCAGTCTTCAAGCGGCCTGCCGATAATGGTATTACGAACTTAATATGACCTGCTTCCCTTGATTAGAGATGCATATTCGAGTTGAAAATATTTCTTCTAGGCTACAGTCCATTTAATTTAATCTTTCACTATGTACTACTACATAGACCTATAGACCAATTGCCCCAAATGTTATCCCTTGGTGGCTGGCATATAAATGATCTACATATCACTAAACCCTTACCGAACTACTAATTCCGTGAACCTGAACCCCCGAGAATCCTCTTCCCAAGCTTGGAATAGCCTTGTATTGTCTAAACATCTAACGGGCCGAGTCGCCACATCAGTTGTAGCCTTTGCCAAAAGTATATATAGCGTCAGCCCTCCCCACATTTCAGCCCCCACCAACTCTCACCACATCTCAAGCTCCCCGCACCAACTCCCACTATCTCAAGCTTGTATATAGCCTCTTAAAATGACTATAGCTCTTGCGAGATTCCCAGTTGAAGTCGGTTGAATTCCAGCTCCAAAACCCTTCCTACTTAGCTAACGCATCGACTTAAACAGCTCCTTAAGCTAATAACGACCAGTCTCTCCGACAATGACCTCTGCAATTTTGCTCTCACGTGTAGTATCTTCCACGATGCTGTTCACGGCGACAAAGTTGTATGGCGGGATCGATTTCTTAGTGTTTACGATGATCCCGTAAACAAAATCTCCTATGACTGGAAAGCCACATACCAGAAACGACAGCGCCTGCACAAGAAAATGGTTGGGCTATCATTCCGCAGCGGCCAATCGAAAGAAGAATTGGAAGCCTTAGAGATTTTATGGGACATATTGGCAGGTTCGTGAGCGAAGTTTGACAACGGCTCTCCGCTGTGAGGAGCATAATGCTGAAAGCTCTGTAGATGCACGTGGTAATATCCCCGCCGAGGGGGATCCAGTGGATGGGCGTAACTTCAGTCACATACTTCCCCTGCGCAGTGAGAGAGCTATCTTCAGCTCACACTCACACGTAGATGAGCATCCGCTACTGAGTGCTGTCAGCTTGCTACTCACCCCGTTGTTGAATCGGCCGAAACTAGCCTTCATAAAAGGTTCCCAGGAAATTGTCTATAAACCTGATGTAAATCGAGTCATCAACGCTGATGGCACCCCGAATCTAAGTATTTTAAATGCTATGGCAAGGCTATTCACATGGCACATACACCCAGATTCTCCGAGTGATTTGTTTCACCAGAGGACCTTATTGACGCCAGGTGAAATGCCGTGTTTTTGGCAGGGAAGGCTGGGAGATGAGGGCGAGATACCGACGAAGTGGTTCGGAGCTTATAGTTTGTTTCCTTATTCCCTTTGATCTGCCCCTCTCTTAAAGGAAAAAGTAGTAGTTGCTGATTTGATTGCTGGAGTGTATTCAAACCCCACTCGAATCATAATCTATGACGGCGATGAACTCTCTTCCGACAGATCTGACGGCTATCTTGTTGATATGACGCTTACTATTTCCCAGTCAGCATTCACTGGCATTGGGAAGGATTTTGATACATTCACAATCAAATCTGGAGAAATAACGCCGATCCCGTCTCCGCCTGGCCGGCTCTCAACAGTTAATGGATGGAAGAAGGTGGAATTTATAAAGTCTTACACTCACCACGGATGGTTTTATTCGGGCATCATTCTTCCTGGGAATAATATGATGCTGGGTTATTGGATGAGAAGCAAGGGGGGACTCCTCAGCAGGGGTGCATCGGGGCCATTTATTTTCTGGAGAGCCCCGGAGAGTAGTAGTTTGTTGAATAGGGACAACAGGGTGTCATTTGTCAGGGTGACGGGTTGATAGGCTTTGTGAGAAATGGATTATTGTAGGGTCTTGTACCACAACATTCGTTGGCCTCAAACTGTTATGCTACAGAAATGTCGGGTTTGTACTGTTGTAAGCTGTGATACCTTTGTAATAAGGGAGAACCTTTCCTAAAGATGAGCCTTAGGGAAATCACCTCTATTAAGGATACTTGTATCGAATCTACCGAGTTCCGGGCGATTCTCAATGATTCAATATTCATATAATAAAAGTTCCAGAAGCCTGATAATTTCATCGAGATATGCTCTAGCTTCATGCCTGCATGCACGTGTGCGCCGAGGCGACCATTATCCTCAAATCCGTGGTTTTTCAATTTCATCCAGATTCTAATAGTGCTATCAGTCTCAATCATGGGCGCCAAATATATCTTTAAAATCACAATATCCTATTCTTTGATCCAGAACAGGCAGTTTGATAAACCCTAATAACATTTTGATTTACAAAAAACATATAAAATACAGAAAAGAAAAGATTACTATTCATCTTCCATCTCTACATCCTCTTCATTTTCGCTTTCATCCTCGTCCTCGAAATCATCGTCGTCCCACATCTCTGGCTCATCATCATCGTCATCGTCATCATTATCAGCTTCTTCTCCTCCTTCTTTACCCTCTGCTTGCTTCTTTCCTTTAAGTGCTTCCTTTTCTGCCTTCTTTCTCTTAACGTTTTCCTGCTGAATTGCCCTCCTTTGATCGCGCTCTGCCTTCTTGATCTTATGCCTCTCCTCCAACTCCCGTTCTTCCTGTTTCGTCTTCGTCTCGTAGGCGTGCCAGAGAACCTTTCCTTCTGCCAAACCTTCCTCTATTTTCACCATCTCTAATCTCATTCTCGGCCCAATCTCAGACAGCTTAACAGCCCTCTTCTGCGGCCCCTTCGGGGCCCTCTTCTTTTTAACAGTGTGGCGACTATTCCCAGGAAGAACTTCAACCTCAGCATCCTCCTCGACCTCAGACTCAGATGTGTATCCACCCGCACCTGGGTCGAGCATGTAATCTGCAATATCTTCGAGCCCACTCAAATTCGGCAATGCACCTCTTTTGCTACCCTTCTCGCCGGAGGATTTTGCACGCAAGGTTCGCTCAGCGGCATTGATGCGCCGGATTGGACGTGAGACTCCAACAGGCTTGGTGTTGATAATGTAGTGGCGCACGTCAATTACATATTCGGAAGTGGTGCCATCTTTGGGGTCGGCCTCGGAGACAGGTCTGCGGTTGAGGAGGAGAATACGGCGGATCGATGCGAGAGGAGTGCGCTGGGCAGAAATGGGCGGAAAGAGGGATTGGAACATGCTGGTAAGGAGCATTTCGTGGGGAGGTGGGCGCCCAGGTGTGCCATCGGGCTTCGGCGGTTGAGGAGTATTAAAACCGTTCATTACAAGCTGTGGGATGTGTCAGAGAGTTTTGGACAATATGGTTTGCCTTTTTTCTTTGCGCTTCTCGAGGCGCAAAAGAAAAACAAAGACTTGGAGCATACCAAAGGCGGAGTAGTAAACTCTTTCCCGGGGGTCTTGGGATTCCGCATGCTCTTCCGGACATCCTTACACAGCGAGTAATTCTTCACACGGAAGTGTATTGTAGGACCACGAGGGCATCTCGTTATTCGTAGAGTTGTAGATCCGGAGTTTACGTTTCTTGAGAAAAGGAGAAGTTGAGTAACCCCCAGAGGGCCAGCCATGGTGGTATAATCCTTTAGTTTGTTTGACTTACGCTCCTTCAGCCTGCTCGCAGTGTGTGGCTCCATCATTGTTCGTACGTCAGTAACGAGCTGAGAGATTGAAGGCCCAACTTCGCCAGCGCCAATCCGAATGACCATAGTCTTTGGCGTGCGGGATGCCGAGGCATTGAGAGGTTGACCGACACCTGTGGCAGAGGTTTTAGAGGTGTCTGCTGGGAGATGGGTTCTTTTCTTTTGACGACGGCGGGCCTGTGAAGGTTTATGTTACTTTTTTGCGCATATTTTTTTTTTTTTTTTCAATTTGAGGGTACCATTGAAGTTATAAAAAAATTACATACCATTTTGAATTATTGGAAGGTTGTTGGTGAAGTTTTTCTTAGAGGGTGGTTGTAGCTGGGATACTTTTTTTTGCTTGTCAAAATTATTTTTGGTTTTGATAAGGCTAGGATTGTTTAGCGGCGGTGACTAGAAATTCGCAAGGATACAAATTACGCCTGGCGGGGCAGCTAGGTATCCTTGGAGCCCGCTCTCCGTCACCAACTCTGGGGGCATCTTCCATTCAATCAACAATCATCCCATCCATCTACAACACCGCCATCGTTATCTGTTGTTCATCATCAACTACTATCCACTTATCTCAAACACCATTAAACAGCATACATCTGAGAGCCCTGTTGACCGAATACCGATCCCCGCATATCATACACATACTATAAAATGGCCTCTTTGGAAGACCTTGAGGATCTTGAGCAGGAAAGACAGGAGAAGAGAGATAAGAAAGATGCCGCCGATGCAGATGGCGATGCAAAGATGGATGTCGATGGAGAGAAGGAGGAGGATGGTATCGACCCAGAGATTTTGAAACTCTCTACCTCCGATATCGTCAACCGGAAACGATTACTTGAGAACGATCTAAGGGTCATGCGACAGGAGTACCAACGGATTACACATGAGAAGGCGAGTATGAAGGACAGGATAAAGGATAACTTGGATAAAATCGAAAATAATAGGTTAGTTTTGAGCAATCAATGTTTGGTTTACACACATCCATCGAATCTTGAGTACTAAAGCCATCTCTCTCATCCCCTAGACAGCTTCCCTATCTCGTCGGAAATGTTGTCGAGCTTCTAGACATGGACCCGACTGCTGAGGCCGCCGAAGATGGCGCTAATGTTGACCTTGATGCGACTCGCGCCGGTAAATCCGCAGTTATCAAAACTTCCACACGGCAGACAATTTTCTTGCCCCTCATCGGTCTTGTTGACCCGGATAAGCTATCTCCTGGTGATCTTATCGGTGTTAACAAGGACAGTTACCTCGTTCTTGATACCCTACCTGCCGAGTACGATTCGCGAGTCAAGGCCATGGAAGTTGATGAGAAGCCCACAGAAACATATGGTGATATCGGTGGTCTGGATAAACAGATTGAGGAGCTTGTAGAAGCTGTAGTAATGCCAATGAAGGAGGCAGAAAGGTTTAAAAAGATTGGCATTAAGCCCCCGAAGGGTAAGCAGTCAAATGAGCTTTACGGAAAAGCTCTACTAACAGGTAAATAGGAGCTTTGATGTATGGTCCTCCTGGAACTGGAAAAACTCTGCTTGCTCGTGCTTGCGCTGCCCAGAGTAACGCTACCTTCTTGAAGATTGCCGGTCCCCAGCTTGTTCAGATGTTCATTGGTGATGGTGCAAAGCTCGTTCGTGATGCCTTTGCGCTAGCAAAGGAAAAGGCACCGGCCATTATCTTCATCGATGAGTTAGATGCTGTTGGTACCAAGCGTTTCGACTCCGAGAAATCTGGAGATCGTGAGGTACAGCGTACCATGTTGGAGCTTCTTAATCAGCTTGACGGTTTCTCATCGGATGACCGAGTTAAGGTCCTTGCAGCGACAAACAGAGTGGATGTGCTCGACCCTGCATTGTTGCGATCCGGGCGCCTGGACAGGAAGATTGAGTTCCCGCTGCCAAATGAAGAAGCCAGAGCCGGTATCCTCCGTATTCATAGTAGAAAGATGACTGTTGAAGATGGTGTAAACTGGATGGAGCTGGCTAGGTCTACAGATGAGTTTGGTGGTGCTCAACTGAAGGCTGTTTGTGTAGAGGCTGGTATGATTGCGTTAAGAGGTGGGAGGACAAAAGTAAGCCACGAGCACTACGTGGATGCTATCGGTGAAGTGCAGGCGAAGAAGAAGGATACGGTATGTTTATACTCTTAAACTCTATAGCACGGGCTATTGCTAATTGGGAATTTGCAGGTCAACTTCTACGCGTAAAAACATCGGTTTATTCTTTTTTTCCTTTCTTTAATCTCCGTTCGTATTGTCTTTTTTTTTCTGGGAGCAGAGCCTTTTTCATGATGGAAAGAGAAGGGACGAAAAAGAATATGTACCCATACGTAGATTCCAGAATAGAAGGACTAGCCTCTGTTTATGTTCTCGTTAGCATATCTGGTCGTATAACCTGCAAAATACCATCATTTCCTTAAAAAAATCCCGGGATTAAAATAGTATTAATGGAGTGTTCATGTCAAGATCTGAATTGAATTAGTTAATGCAGACCATGAGAAGCCCTTAGTTTCCTCGAATACATATTTTTAGTGGTCATAATACCGAGGCTTGTCTCATCGGGATTTCCGGAACTACTATCCCTAATTTATATAGATAACGCTTCAAAGGTTGTAATAGATAGTTCGGATAGTTTGGTTTATGGGAGTAGAGATACTGGCCAGAGTACTAAATTGTGCAAGTATCACTGTCGGCACAGTTGACTTCAATTGTTTTCACAGGCAAACTAGTACATGTGGTATAATAAAGCGAGTAGGTTAGGTATAATCTTACATCTATCTTCGCTCACAAAACAAAACATAGTAACTGGAGCCTCGATCAACATCTGTGAATTGATCATGAAATAGTGGTGATATAACCTTAAGCCCACATGCACAGGGAGCTGTAGGGAAGGGATAAAAACTGGAATTTTAACAAAAGAAAGAAAAGGAGCAATAAAAAAAACGCCCCTTTCCTAACTAAAACGAGTGAAAGACAAAAAAAGTCGTGACCATCGTAAATAAACATGAAATTGAGAAGAACAGCATGCTCAAACCCAATATATATATAAAAAAAGAGAAAAAGAACCCCCAATCCCATCCCAAACCAGCCAACTGTTCCCCAAAACATAAACCCAACCAGTATAAAATAATAACAAAGCAAAACTGGTATCCAAAAGCCTAACGAGCGGGTACTTTTTTTGTTTTTCGTCGAAATGTAGGTGAGGGGAAAGCCCCTTCGAACCCAAATCATAAAGTATAGCAAGGAAAGGAGAGGACGAAACAAAAGGAATAAATTCATAAACAAGAAGAAAAAAGACCAAGAAAGCTCTCAGGCCCATGCAAATCAATAAATATAGCAAACGCTCACCCAACACCAGAAATAAAGATTATGCCCAAAGTATATATGCAAGTTCAGAAAAATCCCAAGACATTAAAGCTATAAGGTCGACACAGCGGTGGTGAAGTAAGAATGGAACATCGGTTCCTCGGAAAACCCAGTCTCTCGGATCACGTGGTACGCGTGTAGCAAGAGGTCTGGAAATCTTCCAGTGAAGTAGAGGAGATATTGACCAGGTAAGGCGCCGACAGAAGCCTTTGCTGCGGGCTTCATGTCTTGGTAGTGGTGCTTTTTGTTTCGAATCGCTCTCAACAGGTCCAGAACCTTCCCGCCCTCATAGCCTCTTCGCTTGTTGACTACCAATTCTTCAAGAAAACCACGATCAAGGCGTTTCAACCAATCACCCCCAGTAACTCTGTTACCATTTCTTTCGATATATGGGATCCACTCTGACTTGTAATTTGGGTCCTTCTCTTTATCTTTCTCTACTTCAAACCGGTCTGATACGTCTAGAAGAAAGTTCAAACGCTTCTCCGTTGACCAGAAGAAGGGATGGATCATAACTTTAGTAGCATCGGGTCTAAATAAATATTGTTAGCATTAGAAAAGTTTCCTTACGACCATTCATTGGGTGCCAAATATTACCTTTTCTTTGGATTGTGATCGATCATACTACTGATCAAATCTCTTGCTTCATATCCTGCGCCTCCCAGAACGCTCAATCTGCTCAGATCACTCTTGTTGCTAATGATATTCAACTCTCTGTGCCATCTATCTCCAAAGGGATGTTCTCCCTGCGTCAAGATGAAATAGAATACACAGCCCATTGAAAAGATGTCGATGGCCCTCGTCGCTCTGCGCTGAGTGTTGTTAACCTCAAAGATTACGGTCTCAGACGAGGCTGACCCGGAGCTCTCCGTATTCCCAGGCGACGAAAAAGGCCGACGTCTTTCATCATCCATTGTCAACAATTCAGGTGCTCTCCATCCACATGTTCCAGGAGAAGCATGTGTTGTTAGCTTGAATGAACTTTGGTTATCGTCAAGAGTTTTGCAAAGACCAAAATCGGAAATAAGTAGTCGTGGCTTTTTGGCGGCCCCCCGGCCCCCGTTCCGTGGCGCCTTGGGAAAGCTAACCAGGATGTTTTGTGGTTTAAGGTCTCGGTGTACAATCTTCAGCGAGTGTAGATGGTGCACACCCGCAGCGATCTGGTGGAGTACTTCTGTGGCATCCAGGGCAGAACTGAGCTCCTGAAACCTTACCGGATCCAACATAAAGTCATTAAGAGAGGCTTGGCAGAGTTCTAGCGCAATGTAGAGAAATTTGCCCCCTTTCTGCTTGCAGTGGTATCTTATGACGTTGGGGTGGTCGTCGCTCGCCTGCAGGAGTTTAACCTCATGCTCAGCAATCTCGACAAAATCATTCAACATCCTCTTGACTGCAACGTCTCTGTTTTCAAATTTCCCTCTACAGACGGTTGTTCCTTGGCTCCCCCTCCCTTGAATTTAATTAGCAGGTTCTCCCATGTTGAACGTTCTAGCATGATAAACCTACCCAAGATTTCGTCCTCGTAAACCTCAAGGCCGTTTATCACGACTTTTGATGTTTCGACCTCGTTCATAGATGACCCATCCGTCATATCTGGCTGTAAAGTAATCTCTTGCTCAACCTTTTTGGCGTCATTTACAATCTTATCGATCCTATCCTCCTCCTTCTCGGAATTGCTGTTTCCCTTACGTCGTCTCGCCCCTCCTCGTTGACCTCTATGGGCCTTCTTCTTTTTCGGCGTAACCGGTGGGGCAGGCGCAACTGTCTCTTCTTCATCCTTGATCTCCTGCGGTTTAGGATCAAACCTCACCTCACGAGATTTGGCATCATCCGTGACAATAGTGGGCTCATCCTCTGGAACCCGTGCCTCAGCAATTATAGTTGTTTCTTCAACCAATGGCGGCGTTGGGTTGGGTTCTTTCGTTTCCGGTTGCCTTGGTTGCTCTACCTCCACGATTGGCTCTGGTTTAATGACTTCCTCTGGTTTTTCTAAGCCGACCCCCGGGATGACGATTTCTTTTACGGCGTCCTGCTGAGACTGGGATTGTTGGAATTCACGACCCTCGCTTGGGAACTTATACTTCCCCTTTCTTGAACCGCCACGAAGTACATAAAGCGCCAAAGAGAAAAGCAACACCACGATGCTGAGATCTACAGGATTGCTGACAGCTAATCCAAGTAGCTTACTGCCTCCCAATGAAGGTGATGAGGGCAATGGTGGGGAGGTGCTTCTAGATTGAACTGGTCTTTCGTCCTCGTTCTGGGAACGAGCCGGTAGCGATGCAGGGTGGGGGTGCGAGTCTGGATATACGAACTGGGCTGAGTGAATTCCAACTATAGACTTTAGACGTTCATTGTGATCCAAGTATGGCCAGTCGATACCCTTGCTGTAACATCCTGCTTTATCGGCTCCATGCGTTACATACGGGTAACTAAGCTCAGACAAGGCAAAATGACCACCTTTCCCGAGGCCGACAAAAGTCATTTTATCATCACGGGGAACATCCTTTGCATGCACAATTGGCTGGGGAAGAACCACAAAGGTTGAAGTCTCCGTGTCTGACGACGACGACGCGGACTTGACAACATCGAAGATTCTAGTGACAGGTGACATCAGATCTTGCTGATACCTTGGACGTCGTTCGCTCGTGACACCTAATGAATTGTTAGGCCGTAATTCCTAAAAGCTTAAATAGTAAAGACATACCTGTTGGGTCTCCCTCGAAGCCATAAATTCTACCATAGTAGTTGCTATAGATATAGCGGTTATCCATGGGCTGATGGTGCTGCTCAGCCAAATCCCGATCACTATTGTTAGGACCCCACTCAGTGTATCTGATGGTCCAAAGAAGCTCTCCAGTATTGACATTGCTGATAGTGACAGTGTACTCTATGAAAATTATCAGCAAATAGAAACCACCCAAAGGTGCACGTTGCTTAGAAAGCAACCACAAATACCATACCAGTTCTTCCGATCAAGATGATCTTTTCAGTGAAGTCGCATTCATCGTCCAAATCTTCAACCTCAAGTCCTTTCTTCGGTTTACACTTTTCATTATGCATTATGTTCACCGGGCCATTGGAACTAAACACTCTTTGAACTTTTCCAGCGCGGGCATCAATAGACAATGTGGTCGTCTTTTTGTCGCCATTATAAACTTTATCACTACCTTCTGCAGAAAAAGGGGTGTTATCGACGATTCCCTTGACAGAAATACCGAATTTCTGAAAGACGCATTGGTAAGCTTTGTTTTATGAACAGAACAAGGAAGACCTTGTTTATTAAAACCTACCTTCAACCCACTATCTGGGGAATAATAGTACAATTGGCCCCCGTTGACTGGCTCTACAATCCAAACAACATTATCGTCTGGAATCCAATCTCGTACTGGGTGCGAGATATTGGCCCGGTGAGCAGTAATTTGCACTGCTGGGTAATTCGATGAAATATCCCATCTTTTCACCCCTGTCTTCCTGTCGGTGGCATAGAGACTCCCATCGACTGTGGATAACAACACATAGTCCTCAACTTCCCAATCATGAATGTATCTTTCCCTTTGAAGATCTACCCCTCCTCCACTCCCAACCCTTCCAAGCCCAGATTGATGAATTCCGTTTGTAGCTTCTGGAGAATAAGTTGCTAGTGCCCTGGCGGCGCTAAGCGAGGATGTAAGGTCGTTAAAGTTGTTGGAGGATTTCTCGCTATCGTTGATGTTCTGTTTTGGAGCCCCTGGGGAAACGATACGCGATAGCTCTGGTTCCGATTGCCGCTGGTTTATGTTCCTAATCTCTGAAGGGGGAAGCCCTTCAGATGCCACAACAAGAGCTGAGATAACCAAAAA